CTGCTGCTTCATGATTTTACTATCTGTATAAAATGAAACGACTTAACATGATGTCTCTTGAATCTCTTTCAATAAACGTGAATATAACGTAATATAAATGAAAAATGCAGCATTCCATTTAAAACAGATGAGCTTGACCTTGAGAGCTCTCCTACTAATTCACTTGCAAAAGTGTTATTACTAATGTACGCTAATGTTACACTAGTAATACTAGTAATACTAGTGTAACATTAATGTTAGTAATATTAGACACGTAATATTCCCCAATCCTGCATATTCTACAACTCTCGTGACGACGTACTATTTCTTTGTATTTTTTCAGTTCTTTATGAGATAGCTTATATCTTAGATTCCCAGTCAACACAGACATCCTTATAAATATAGATATCTGATGTTTGTTATGTATAACACATATGGAATATTATATATTCATTGTATAAATCGAAAAAATCATCAAGGTCGTTGTTATCAATGGTGATAATGATAAGATGTATATGGTTAGAAGTCATCAAAATCCCCCAAAAACGAACCAATATCTAAGTCAACATGTTGCTTATCAGTGGGAGACTCTAGATCATTATATAAAGTCAATACAATCAGTTAAATTTCTTAACTGTGTATAGTATCTGTAATTTTGTCAATTATGTTACAACTAACAAAAACCAATTGCAATGAGGGGATGGCTATACATTACACATACAAATAAACCAATAAACGTTTAATTGTTTGATTGTCTTGCTAAACATACCAGTGATGACTAGGCCAAGAGTCTAATAATAGTTATTTTATGATTTCTTCTTTCTTAAATGGAGATCAACAGTTGAATTACCAAACCAATTCAAAATGACTGATCTCAGACTTCCTGTTTTGTAATTATTGAAAACATGCATTTGTGTTTGGCAATGTTAGTATTGACATCTATTGAAATATAAATGTATTTTCTATGTGTACCTATTCATTTCCATTTAATTATTATCATCTATGTATGTTATACTTAAATATCAATTACAGGTCAATAGTTCTAATATTAACCTATAACTCTGATGGTATCACTCTAATAACTCAAATGTTCTAATTCTACACATTATGCTCTAAACTCAAATGTCCAAGAATGTCCTAATGAAATACTTTCATGCTGGAAAACATTACCTGTCTAGTAGTTCAATTAATTCCATTGTTTTCAGTTATGCTCAAGGTACTTTCTTTCCATGGTACATGGCTACTTTTAAAATAGACATTGAAATACAAATATTGCTTAGTTTAGGAAGGATTCACTGTAATAGTAACCAATACCCTAAAGTTACAATAGACTCTTTTAATACGACAAATAGGGGTGAAAACTAGAATTGTGGGAATACAGAAAATTACAGACATCTGAAGCTAGTTTTAAGATGTAATTCTTCAGTTTTGTGCTTAAACTTTTAATTTGGATGTACTTTCACACTCATCATATAATTGGGTATAAAAATCTAAAAGCAAGGAAAACATTAAATAATATTGCTTTATCTTATGTTTAAATATAGTTGCTCCACTTTTTCTTGTATCCTATATTTATATTCTATACCTCAGCTTAACCTATACCCTACATATCTTATATTTAGTTCTCGCGATTATATTATCACGAGAATGTTATCAACGTTAGAAAATATTTATTCGTTGTTTGTAAATCGAGAATCGCGAAGTACTGTCTTCTTGTTATCGCTGATATGAGGAATCATGAGTGATTGTATCCCTACCAATCTCATTCCAATAGATCTGTGCTTCTTCATTTATAAGGAATATTCTAATATCTTCTTTGGATATAGCATTAGGTGCTCTATGTATCAGGTATACAGACATATTTATGTATGTATAAATTTTTGCAATCGTGATTCAATACTAAAAAAAGATTCCAATCTGACCTCAAGAGAGATTCATACTTCTGATAACTTTCATTAATGTTCATCCTGAATGTATTTCCTGCATGAAGTCATTCTGATCTATGTATATTATAAATATTCCTTTACCAAAAGATATTTCTTTATCAATGATTTCGTATAATCATAAAAGTGTTACCTATTGAGTCTAAGTTTACAGCATTTGTAAGAGCTAATTATGCTATGTTAGTTATACATTGTGCAAACTACTATTCTTTTCAAAATTTAGAATTCATGATTTTTAATGGGGAATGGTTGATCTCATTCTTTGTATTTGTGATCTGTTGCTTAGTATCCATGTAATAAATTATTCTTTTATTATCAACAATTTTTAATCTTTGTGTATCATAATATTCTGCAAGCTTACTTTCTTTGTGTGCCAGATTTATATACAGATTCTATTTGCAGGAGATTATAAGCAAATATAAAGTTAATATAGGCTTTTGATGGGAATAACGTGCAATGTATTTTTCTATAGTATATAATAAAAATTTTATTTTCTAAAAGGATGGACCTTTGTTTATATTAAATTTTTAACTATGAAGTTGAGATAAAAACGTTAGTTTCCTAAATTAATTTTGTTAACTTTTAAGGGGAAGATGTTTTCATTTTCCACATGTTCAGTATTTTATAGTTTTTGTTCTATATTGCAATATTCCTCTTCGTTGTTAGATATTAAAGCATTCTTTTTATTGTATCATAATTCGTGTAATATATATGGATCTTCAATTTAGAGCAATTAATATATCAATAATATTTGTTGAATTTATCTAGACTAATATGATTATACTTACTACCATATATTCTACTCTACCATATGCTCTTCAGCTGGAACAAAGAATAACTGTTATCATTGAATGAGTATAATTATATATGTGACACTGAGGGGGGGGGGGGCAAATGACTATTTTAGTATCAAGAAATTACATAGATAAAAACAAATTTACAAATATTACTATATCCATTTCCATGTAAGAATTAACAAAAGTATGGCTATTATAAATGTAACGATAATAGGGTTTAAAATTATTATTAGTAACAGTAATATAAATATGCTATTCATATAGTTATTTATGCTTCTGTTTTATATATTATTCAGTATTGATAAAACAGTGGAACCTCCATTATCACAAATTCATATCCACATATTACATTATTCAAGTTCTCTTATGAATACAACATTCCTTTTGTTACTCTGGTGCAGTGATTATCATTGATTGTCCATTTTCATTTTACAGCACATATAAACTAATTACTAAAATTTTATGGCACTAAAAATAAATTATATTCCATTTAAAATTATATTTTTAATTATTTTAAATTATATTGTATTTAAAAATACTAAATTTATTATATTTTTTGTTGATATGATAAAAAGATTGATATAATTTTAATTCGCAGTAGATGGCTATTGTTATGTCTAATGTTGTCATCTTTTTTATTTGACCATTTTAAGGAAATAGGAGACAGCACCTCGACCAAATAGTCATGGATTGTATGTTTCAAAAATTTTCATGAAAGATATAAAAATTCATACACCATAGCGATTAAATAATTATTACTGTAGTGTGAAATGGGCATTATATCCGAGAATATCTGTGTGATAGTATTAAAGAAATAGTTTATAGTACTGACTATCGAAACAAAACAGAAATTGATAAAAAAAATATATATTTTTTTCGCCATACATTTATTATTTTCTATCATTAAAAGTAGTTTCTTATCGCAATTATGTTAGTACAAAATAATTTTTATAGGAACAAATAGTATTCTTATATTCGAAAATCCACTTTCTTCGAACAACTATATTTTTTTCATAACATATTTACAGCCGTAATTCATGTAATTTATAATGCTTTTTTTAGTTGCTACTGATGTAAATTTTCATTTAGGTTTCTCTTTTTGGTTGACGCTAATGTAATTTTTCTGTTTTTGATTATCGCTAACGTTTATTCACGTCACTTATGGTCTTGTTTCTAGTTATCTCTGATGTAAATTTATATCACTTAAAACTCTGTTTTCGGATGATTTGATTTGAATCAAAGGTACGTTTGATAATTTAAAACTAATTCTATAATTTTTATTCTTGTCTTAATAACAGAAATCAGTAGCGACCGATTTTTAAAATTTTTTTAACTTACCGTCTTTCAGTATTAGAAAAATGTAAAAATCACTGGCTACGAATGTGTTAGCACTAGAACTACCAATCTGTGATGTGTACCTGAATATAGTATACATAGATACTAATAATTAAAATCGTGTGATACAAATAATTAGGTATATGTAATTAACATTCTATCTGAATAAAAGTTAACATTAATTTTATCGAAAGTAGTTATACGTCTCAGTAGCTGTAAAAATAAAAGATCTGAAACCAGTCATTTTGACTAGTTTGGTAATTCTAGTATTAATGCGGATATTGGAGGTTCAACTACAGATAATTAGTAACATATTTTTCGAAGTATATTAATGAACTTTCGAAATACACGTATCAATTCAAATTATCCATTATATATAATTTACTGACAATTTAATAAACATATCCAAATATATGCACAATGAAGTTCAATATATTTTCCAATTTTATAGAACAAGGCACAAATTTTTCTTACACAAAATTCTTAAGGAATTTAAATTAGAAATTTCAGAAAATTTTTTCGAGCTATTTTATGTAGCACAAAAATCAAATTTTCATTTTAGCGATAGTGAAAATTAACATATCTTATTGGAAAAAAACAAAAATTTCTATTGAGAATATTCTAATGAAGTCTAATGAAGAATATTTTGATTATATATATTTTTAAGTTATTTACGCAATGATATTTATATCACGAGAATACTAATAAAAGTTTTGTTTATTTGTTGATCTGTTTATTAGGATACTTATTCGTATTTTATATCTAATTTTTTATATAAAGAATCTTAATTTTTCAAAGAATCATTACCTGTCATTATAAGATTTTTTCTCTTTGCTGCCATGTTTTTTTTTTTTATTTTTTTTTTTAATTTTGATGTACATTGTGAAAAAACTGCCAATGTGTATACGTCCTACAAACATTCGACTTTGTTTCGCTATTACTATCAGTGACACATGTTATCCCCTAATAAAAATTAAATTAATAACATTATCTCATTATAGTATTACGAGGTAATTCTATTTTAGCTGAAAGGGTCACAAATCGAAAAAGAATGATGGAAAACGATTTTTAGCTTCACAACTGCTATATCCTCTTGAGCAGCAATTTCATTAAAAGAATTATTTATTGAATTGGGGAAAGAAGATAGAATAAAAGAAAAAAAATAATAATTTAAAGGACCATGGATTTTTGTAACCTTTAGTGTGTATTAATTGCTAGATGCCAAAGATATTATTAGTGACAAATTATTTAAACTTTTATTTTATTTTATTTCCTTTTGTCAATTATTTCAATTTATATCGTACATTTCCAATTGTAAATTATAATTATATTAGAAATGGCTATAATGTATATAATAATAATTTCAATACACCCTTAATAGCATCCATTTAATAACGTAGTTAATTTGTCTTTAACTGCATAAAGTATATATGAAATAAATAAATATTATTTTATTCATAAAACAAAATAGTGAGTAACACGTTAAAATGTATTGTTATGCGTTGTTGTATATTTTAATGTGAATTTTATCAGGATTGTTGTACATTAGAAATTAAGAAGATTTTAAAAATAAATATATTAGGCATCTCGATTTTCTGTCGATAGCCTTCGATAGTTTGTTGTGAATTGTTGTATCATAGGAATAAAATTAATTTGAACAGTGTAACATAAACGTAACAAATATACGATTATTACTTGTTAATTGATAAAACTTTTCTTTAGAATGATATTTATCCTCTTTCCAAAGCCTTTAATTCCAATTTCAGTAGTTATTAGAAATATCATTTTTTTACTTATTATAGATACGTGATTTACATCGTAATATACTTTTAGTAATCGTAGATGTATTATATATTTTAATTTATATTAAACATGTGTTAAAAAACACATGCTGTTCAAGTGTAACGTTCAACATATCTAATTCAAGGTATGCAAAAGATTCCTTAGTTTTAATTACATTTGCTTCATATTTAGGAACAACGACGTTAGAGCATCAATACGACTACCTACACCAAGATGCCATCTGTGAAGATTATTTGGAAGAACATGAAAGAAGATGTACACGTTATTTCGAATTATTCCTAAAAAATTGTTTTTTGATTATATAGATTTTTATATGGATTTTATATCAAATTTATATTTACCACACGACGTTATGATAGTTCTAATGATATTATCGCAAAGCGATAGTAAAACTCGATAATAATAATTCGATATAAATTAATTTGTGTCACGAAAATAATATTTGGTAATGGGTTTTTGTTCCTGTTTTTTATTTTTTGTTATTTTGGAAATTGATACGAATCATTTGTTTTTATATATTTGTCTAAACCAAGTATAAGGTTATTTAGTTGTAAACATTGCGTCCGTTAGAAATTTTATTAAAATCTTTCACTTTCTTTTCGAATTATCGGTTACCTTGTAATGTTAAAACCTTCAGGATATATTAAGTATTATTATCAAATTATGGCTAATTTTAACATTCATTCTGGCTACGGTTCACTGTTGCGTTTACATTGGCCTTGGTCCAAAACAGTGAATGCCAACCGTTAGAAAATAATTTGCAACCGTTACTAAGGTCAATGAAGGCTGAAGTTAGTTTGTAAGTCAGTTGGTCAGTCAGTCAGTCGTACATCGGCGTTCGAAAATAAGCAAATTCGTGATACTTTAAGACAGAGTATTTAAGATAAAAAATCTGAAAAATGGCTACGGAAGCAAAAAAAAGAATATGCATTGTAGGAAGTGGCAATTGGTACGTGTATGCGATAATTTTCTTTTTTGTACACTTAAAATAGATTAAAATTATGTATTGGAGTTGTTATAAATGTTTAACGTAACATCATCTATTAACAAATTGTATTCTATTTTTTTAATTTTTAATCAGGTACATTATTTTTTATGTTTATATTTTATTTTTAATGTACACAGTTTTTATTTTTTATCAATATTTGCATAAGTGTTTGTATACAATTTGAGAGTTCAACATATTATTAAATATAGATGGAACTACTAAATAACAGTTTTATAAATCATTTTATTCAAAACTATTGTAAGATATTAAACATTATAATAATCGTTTATCTTACATAATTTTTATACTTTAGGGGCTCAGCTATTGCAAAAATTGTGGGTGCCAATGTAGTAAAATATAACAACAAATTTGAAACACGCGTGACAATGTATGTTTATGAAGAAATAGTCAACAGTCAAAAGTTGACTGATATTATAAATCAGTTGCATGAAAATGTGAAATATCTTCCTGGGCACAAACTCCCAGAAAATATTGTAAGTTTTATTTATCATATAAAATTGCATGTTCTTTTCTAAGTGTAACTTGCTTTGACTTTAGAATTATGAAGAAGTCTATAAATTAACAATTTTTATTGTTAATTTTATTTATTATATTATTAAATTTATTTAATATTACATAAAAATTTGAGATTTGAAATTTTTGACTTCATTGTATCATAACTATTAGGAGTACACTTGTGAAATGCATAAGTGCAGTTACAAACATTTAATAAGGTGATATTTATTTTTAGTAAATATTGCAGGAAAAAAATTAAATTTTCAAAGTTTAATAAACAATATTTGTATCTGTCTCTTCTCATTAAATTTTATAATAATTCAGAGAATATATGTTCTCTTGTGTATTGACATTTCATATATTTTATATATTATATTTCAATAATGAAATTGATTAGAATAATATATTAATATAATAATGACAACAATAATAATAATTTAGTTATTAGTTATTAGATTCAATAATTTTGTTTGAGTCCAATATTTAGATTTTGTACTTATTATTTATACATTTATTTGATATTTGTTCTATAATGGCACAAAATATTTTGTTGCAATCTTATCTTATCATAAAAAGCAAATTGAATTATTAATTTTTTATTTTAAATATTAAAATCATTTTTACCATTTTTAATGCATTTATTTTATATTACATGTTATATTTTTTTGTTATAACTGTCACTAAATAATTCTAATAAATAATTTAATAACACAAAAAAAAAACTCAATTTTAATAGCATAAAGAAGGTATAAATATTTATTTTAATTTTAATAGATAAAAAGAGATATATGGAATTGTTATGAACAAATGCTCAGTTTTGTTCTTAGATAGTGTATCATTGTATTAAAAACTTCTAGTACTACTTGTAATTAAATTAAATTATGTTTGCAAATAAACATAATGAAAAATATGTACTTTCTACTATACATTTAAGTAATATAAAAATTAATAATCTATTTTAATTATTAGAGTTGATATTGTTACAGCAAATGTTTATATTATTTGATTTGAAATCCTGAAATGTTATATATAAAATTATGAAGCAGCATTGATAAAATTGTGTAAATATTACTCTATTTTGCTATAAAACGAAAAAGATAATGTATTGATACAGTGAACAATTGAGTATATTATTTAAATTTATTTAGTACAAAGTACGTATATTATAATTGCTTTAGGTATGCTTTTTTGTTAAATATTTATGAATAAGAAAAATATTTTATACATTAGTACATCAAATATTGTGACAACATAACTTTTATTTACTGCCATTTTTAGATAGATTATACGATTTTGTTGATATTTCGATTGCATTTATTAAAAACTATGTAAACATTATTCAATTTCTTTAACTACAGAGAATGAAGCTACTTTACTGATAATGATATATAGTGCCACCTATGTATTATTGTTACATTATTAAAAAATTATAAAATCAAATTTGTCGCGTCAATATTTTTATAAAATCATAATCGTTGGTGTCTTTGTAAAATCATAATTATTTTTCAAAGCTATCTAATTCGTTCTTTTTTTCATACTATTTATATAAATAAAATTTATATTATTATTATATATCTGTGTTAATAATACTTGTGTTGAAATAAATAATTAAAATTCACATTAACGGGATAAAAATGCATTTATTATCTTCAAAACAATATTAACAAATAAAAAACAAGACATTGTAACTCGTTTAAAAATGAGTGCAATTATTCAATCAATATTCATATAAAAAACAAAGTTTCATTTACATAAATTTTATTAATATGTGCATAAATAATATTTTCTATAAATTTATGTACAATTAATATTGATGTAAAATTTACTCATATACTTTTATATTAATATTTGTATAGTGGAGAATTTGTGTTAATACTATATAATGCTTTTTTAATATTATGGTAGCAAAAATAGGTGAAAAAGAAAAATTGTCATATCATTTTAAGTAATAATTATGCAAGTGTATATTTATATGTCAAACTTCAAGTTTGACATAGCTTTATATAAATGAAAAACTATGCGCTAAGTAATACGTCATGTATTTCATACAAAATGTTATTTATGATTATATTCAATAATCTGTGGTTGTGCGGACGTAGACCTTGCCAGAAGGCATCGAGACTTTATCAACTCCTTTAGGGAAAAGTTTGGGAAGTTCTTCTTCTTTCACAGTTGGAAGTATCATTACTTTTTCACCAGGCTATAAACAAAATAACGAAGTGTATTTTTATTAAGTCATGACAGAGTAGATACCAAATTACATTAATCAGATGTTTAAAAACGATATTATCATAACATCTACTGTACTTTTTACATATAGAAAATTGCAGTGGTATAAGATAACGAGAAAATAAAATTAATAAACATATAAAAATAAAAATTTTTCTTACCATCCAATTCGCAGGGGTTGCTATTCCCGGTTTTTTATCAACAAGTTGCAAGGAATCTATGACCCGTAGTATTTCACTAGAAATCACACAAATATTATTAATATTAATAATAGCTCTATTATGTGATTAGCTATATTATGATAAAGCTTATTTTATAATACAGTTACAAAAAGAAATGAGTTAATAATAAATCTAGTACAATCGTCTTAAAGCTCTCTCTGAACCATGTTATATACTAGAGAAAAGACTTTCTGATCGGACTGTATTTCTTTTCTGAACGATACATAATTCCTTCAACTTATGGAGCCATCAATGGAAAAATTCGTTTTACAAAAGTAAACTTAAATTCGTTGGGCTACTCTGAATTCGAATTATAGGGGTAAAATAATCTTAGATTTGAAGGAAGTCTATATTTCACAACTGAGCGACGAAGAATTTTTAAGTTTCTAATGTTCGAGATACCGAGGTTCGACTGTATAAATGAAAATAAGAAATAACATAGAAAGACTTACTCCACGTTGCGTCCAGTGGATGTTGGATATTGCATCGATAAACGTAGACGGTGATCAGGGCTTATGATATACAGAGATCGAACAGTTTGTGCGGTTTCCGGATCGTCTTTGCTTTGTTCATCAATCATGTCCAATTTTACTGCCAAAGTACGATCATGGTCAGCAATAATTGGATAAGGAAAAGCCCCAGGAATGTCTCGACAATAAGATTTGATATCCTATAATAAATGTACACTTGCATAAAATAAGAATATTTAAATGGTATGTATGTTGTAAGTTATATTTGTGACAAAATTGAATCCATTTAAGTTATCGTTAGATAATTTGATACTATCGAAAATAAAATTTTTATATTTTCAGTTGTATTTTCCAAATAACAAATTAAAACCTCCAGAGCAGTGTTTCTCAACCTCTTTGAAATAATGATACACTTTGAAATTGGTCAGGTCTTTGCACCGTGACATGATTGTTAGGAAGAAAATTATTTCCTTGTAATGATAACATTTTAATTATGTAATATCGGTAAGGAACACCGATTTTTACCAATCTTTTTGTTGTAGTAATCGATTAGTATATACACTCAATTATATTTCTCAAAATATTGAATATCTTTGGTACTAGTGAAATTTTAATGAAATTTTCACGACAAATTTGGTTGAGAAACACTAATCCAGTGATTAGGAAAATAGTCGATGTGAACTGTTCATATAAATCGCCGAGTCGATTAACTTTATGAAATAAAAAATATAAATTTATTTTAAATATTGGAAGTTAAGTATTGAATAAGTTTCGGTGCTAAAATTTAAAAAATTTAAAAAGTGGAGTTTTCAGTTTGGTCTGCGAATGGCTCATATTTGAAATCTGTGATCTGTGATTATTTGAAATCTGTAATTTTTAATTACATTATTATATGTTGTTATGATAGAATCAATATTTAAACTTGTAAATACAGTAATACCTCTGTTATATGAACAGTATAGTTACAAAATCATATATACAGTAGGACATGAAAGTATTTTAACACGATATTTCAAGAGAATTATCGAACCCAAAAATATCCATTTTAATAACTTTTAATATTGTTGAATAAAAATATTTTATTTTTTATTTTTTTAATGAAAGATTCGAAATCGAATAACAAATGTTTATATATCAACGATATAGGCTACCTAATTTCGTTAAAAAGAATTAACGTTTAAAAATATTAAAAAATACTCCAAAAGTATTTAAAAAATAGTCGTGCTTTTAAGAGTATCTTGTGTTCAAATTTGAATTGTAATACGTTGAATTATAATAATATCCTATATTCTTTTTATTTTTAATGCTACTTCAAATTTCTATTTTATAATTTCGTACTGTATATTATATATCTTGTTTCACAAAATTTATAATCTACCGAAAAACCCCTTTTAATTTAGCAAAGGAATATTTTAAACGATAGTTTGACTACATTTTACTGCATATGGTTATTGAAAATTTACATTCGTTTGAATATACTTTTAACAAAAATATGAATCTCGTTTAATATTTTTTAATAAAGCTACGTAACTGTTCCTATAAATTTTTGTACCTTTAAAAAAGCCCAAAAAATTTTACGCATAAAATAATAAGAAAAAAATAAAATACAAACTATAGAGTAAAATTGTAAAATTTTATGGAAGTATGGAAAGAATAGTTATTACAAATACCGCATGTTTTATACAACATAACTATGAAACGGTAAACAATAGAAAAAAATATTATTAGGAAAAATTAAGTGGAATGAAAAGACACATGATCTGTTCTGAAAGCCAAAAAATATTTTAAAAGTTTAGAGATCATCGCTATTTTTTAAATAGACCTATATATTTCTTTTATATTTTATAACAAAATGTGTTATAACATTTGAATCAAAAATTGACTAATTTAAAAGATATGAATTTTGATACGCAAAAAAATGTTTAAACCCATACTAATTTAAATACAATATTCGAAAAAAAAATATATTGTAAAGTAAATAAATTATAAAAAAATATATTCTGAATTTCAAATTTTCGATTTAAGTGCCCTAGTATTTTCTTAACAAGAATAAAAAAAATATGCTGTCCTATTTAAAAGATACAGGTGACCTTCAAAACGTCTCTAATTCTGGATCAGATATATATATATATAATTAGTGATGGGCTCAAGTATTTCGCAAATAGGTTTGAATATTGACCGACTAGATCCAAATCCTCGATAAGTATTTTGAAAGAAGAAGCAATACTTTCAAATTCAGAATTTTCAAATTCGATTTTCTATAAGAAAAGGTATTCTATATTTTTTTCCACATTTTTTTACGTGTAATTACTTGATGCCCCTCTTTCCGAGACACCCTGTATACACTAGGTCATATAGCATTCGATATAATTTAATTTTACCTGATGAAATTTTTTTCTATCTTCTACTGTTTCAGAGTTATGACTAACTACAATGGTCTAATTGTGAAACATTAAGTAAATGCGTATGAATATTAAACCTAAGCCACGCTCGGTTTAAACATTTTTTTATTTTCAATTGTATTTTCTCAAATAAGGAAGCATATTTGTGAAAACATATTTCTGATTCATAGTTTTAGTTCTAAATAGCTTAAACATTCATTTAAACAGTTAGCATGCGTCAAAGTAGATGAAAGTTCACAACATTCATTAACACTATCTTATGTAATCTTGTTCAAACTATTGTTTTTTGAAGTACACTTACATCGCATATTCTAGTTTTCCTATTTAGAAAATAACATCTAATATTATATTCCTATAAAAAATATTTAGATAAGAATTTCGAATTTTCTTAAATTTTATCTTAAATGAAAGAAGAGTTTTACAATATTTAAGTAATTGTTACATTAGGATAGTTACTCTACCAATATCGCAAATATTGAAATTTAAAAAAATATTATATACAATATTCATAATGTTAATCCTTGAAATACCGTTTCGGAAGTATTATTACTCTCATTAGGAAATACCATATTGCCGACCCCGTACCCCAGGTAAAACACGATGGCACATTAACGCTTGGCCACCATATACGTTAAGTACCTGGAGTATGGAGCAATAATTCAGTTCGTTTTTCTGAAAAATCTTTTGTAACCCTTGCCCTTGCACCTCAAATTCGGAAACTCCATTATTCATATTATCCAATAGCAAAATACATAACCTTACCAAGAGTCTATATAAATGCTAGAGACATGGTAGCAAGCGGCATATAAAAACACACAGTATCTCTTACAGTTCATTTACTATTCGAAGTTATACATAATGTCCTCAAGGAGCCGTCCGTTACTAATCTTCGTCAATCAAGAACGACCTAGTGACGATATATACATAATATATATTCTTATTCATAAGTATGCAATATATACATATGCAGTACATTCATATATATCGCATTTTGTTACGGATTTAACACCTAGTAACTACTAGTACAATACTATTTTTTGGGTCCGATTGCTGGATTGAAGAGTAATTTTATAAAACATCGTCGTTGTATTTTAATTAACCCAGTTTGCACATTGTCAAATTGCAACTAACTGAACATCGGGGAATGTCGCCCTTTCTTGTACCAATGAGCCGCGATTGTTCTTTTGGCTGGATCCTAATAGGTGCTGGGTCATTATATCGGGGGTTGTTATTTGTAATAATATAATAACTTAATTTAAAGCTTCATTATGCTAATATACATCAGGTTTACAACTATACATAGGTTCCAAAAATCGCAAGATTACCCTCAGCAGTCGCTTTATATCCTTATTCGCCTCTCTCTCTCTTTAGTTGGAGTGACGTCCTCGCGTTGCGGGTCTTACCACTTATTGTCAGGCCTGCCAACGTATCACGTCATGCTTGCCAAATATCGAAGTGTGAACCTAGGCCGATGATGACCTAACCTATGCCTGGGGAACATCCTCGCCTTCATTTTTACTCGGTAGTCGGTTCCCCCACCATTAGGCTATTCTTCGCTAACTATTGCTTTCCTCACGCGTTCACAAACGTATATATGCATGTACACTCCCCCACTCCTGCTTAACAGAGTGACAAGTGACAAGGTAACAGGTGTAGATGTAGTGAGGGAAGCCTGCATGAGGAGAGTACTTAGAGTTAGTATACTTAGAGACTATCTGGCCCGCGGTCCAGCAGTTTCCTAGGCCTGACTTAACCCTTTGCACTCGGCGATTGTTTGTGACAGGAAAATAGTAATTCGAAGACTTTCTGCCATAAGGTCGACGATATTTCTAAATAAATCGAATCGATTTAAATAAATAAAAATAGTAATAAATAAAATCGACCTGGTAAATAAAAAATACTTCCACGTGAATGGGTATGGTGAATGGAACCCTAGATACTAGCTGAGACCTATATTCATTAATTAATTTTTTTATTAATTAAAATGAATCCTATTTCATTAATTAATAGCAGATGTTCTAATTTAACTATGGTATTTCATATTTAGTGTTTATATAGAAGCAATATTTGTTTAAATCTGTCATTTTATTAATAAAAATAATTCTTTTTCAGCCAAATTCACATAGATTATATCGGTTACCAAAAACGATACAAATTTTACGAATTTTTCAACATAATTCAATATAATTTAATCTTTAACAATTTTTCAATCTAATTTTCACTATAATTCTAGCATTGTAATTCTACTACTTATTATTTGGACAGTAATTGATAATACAAACCTCTATAATGGGTCATTAGCCTAGAATAAAATTAAAATTCTTTGCTTTGTTTCTTCTTATTAGCTTAACTGTGACTATAAAAATTTCACTTTGTAAATAGATATCACATATCATCTATTATGTCATCTGAACTTTTTCTAGAAATTTCACATTTTGCTTGATACACGCGTATCATTAATTTAAGCACGTTTAGTTGATGGAAATGACATAATGAGGTCGTAAAACGATAGTAAGGTTGTAAATTAAAGCATTAAGTTGCGACATCTATTAATGTAAGCCTACTTAGCCTATTCAGACTATAAAATCTGTAGTTAAAAGCAAAATCCCATATGCCACAATTTTAAAAAATTCTATTTTATTCGTTAATTAGGTTATAAAACGTACTATAATTCACTTATTTATTAGAAAAAAATGAATAAAAATAAATAAAAATAAATTTTATTTTTTCAAAAAAATTATACAATTTATTAGAGGCACCCTATATAGTAATACTGACATCTTCCTAAATATTTCGACTCAATCACTATGTTTAGAGCATATCAACCGTATTATTTTTTACTTAATATTGTAAGAAATTTGTTATTATTTCAAAATTCAATGTCAAAAGATATATCTCATTCTAAGTTATTTTATTAATTTATTAAAATAAGAATGTTAATATTTCATAACAAAAAAGATACTGTCATCTTAATACCTTGTAAACTAGGAGGGTACTAAAAATTTATGTTAGTACCAAATGTCTACATAGGTACCATATCATTTTTGAAAGAATAATTGTAAAAAGAATAATATCTTTTCAATATTAAAAATTAATATTATTATTAATTAAAAGTAATATTTTTCTATAAGATAACAGAGGAATAGGATGTCCAAAAAGGTTGAGACCAAAGTGACACTATGTGTTACCGAGGTCAGATAGAAGAAACAAATTCATATAAAGACTTTATTGAAAAGATATAAGCGTTCAAAGATTTACGGACAAAATTCATCTTACAATTCCTTGTAGAGAATCGTATACGTAGTACAAATTTTTAATAAGGAATTTTTTTTAAGTGGGGAGGATTTTTTGTTTCTTTGTTTGGGGGGAATTTTCGAACATTTTTTATAAGTATCACCAAAAATCATAAATATCATACTAATTTTGGATATAGATTTATACGAATTTTTCTTCATCTATTTGACCTCAGTAACACGTAGTCCAAGTTTGATTCTAACCTCTTTGGATACACTGTATATTAAAATTAAAAAAAAAGAGGCAGATATTTTGATTTATACGATAAATTGTACTGTTTCATAGTAATATGTTTAATTTATATAATAATGGTGCAAAAGACAATGAATATTCAGCCTTCGATTGAGCAAAACAGTAAGAGGAGGAAATGAAGTATAGGATTACTTACCGATTAGTAATATTAGTCAGATAATATGATAGATTGAATGTTATATCGTATTACAAAGTCATTTATGAAAGATAAAATGTCTATTTAACAAAATAATTAAAAATTAGTAAAACAAATTTTTATCAATGAAAAAGACTGTTAACGAATGAAATATTAATATTAAAAACCTACTTATTGTTTAACTTCTATGTTGAATTAATCGAGTTAATGTTTTTCTATGTAATTTTCTAAATATCAAGCTATCTGATATTTTCTAAATATCAACGATACATACAAATTTTCAAATAGTTAACGTATAAAATAAATATACATAGAGTGAGTTAAATGACTCATTCAAAAAATTTTTGTAAATTATTTATTATATAAAATCATGTTTCAAATAAAAATTGTCTAGTATCAAAAGGAGAATGTTTTAATTGAATTTTTTAATTGAATTTTTATTTTTTATTGATGTACGAAGGTCACCTTCAATTTTTACTTAACTATAATATGTAAAATTTAATCATGTGCTTCAAAATAGTATCGAATACTAATTATAAGTAAAAACCGATTGAAGAATATGCGATGAAAAATGAATAATTAAAATCAATTATTAATTATAATGAAATATTGCATATTATGGTTAAAAAAATTCGATGTAACCTTCATATTTTAATAAAAAAAAAAAAAAGAAATAGCAAAAAAAAAATAATTATTACGTTGTATACTTCTTTGATACTAAACAACTTTTACTCAAAACATTTTTTTATGTAATGAATAATTTACAAGTAAATTTAAGTGGCACTATTAATTGACGCATTTTTTGTATTATATGGATTTATAAAACCTACTTATTCCATAAACAATTGACAATTGAATGAAAAAATAACTTATATTAACAATGTAAATAATTATAAGTAATTATTTTGTTTCTTAACTTTTATGGATAAATTCTCATACAGAGTACCTAATTTTAATCAATACTTATATCTCCAAAGTTATTCCGGAAACAGAAAATGTTTCCGCTAAGAGATATATTATCTCAAAAAGAGTTTTCCATGACAAGCATAATCTTCCCTCCAAACAATTATTCTTTATCGAAATTCCAAAATAATGAAATAATCAATCTACTGATTGCCAAATAAGCTTCTGTTCTTCCGCTATTTGCTTTTCACATCTTCTGATATAACAATATACCAACACTACTTCATTACCACATACTTCTTTAATTGTAATGATTACAGACACTACTAAAGAAGTATAGATAAATCCCTTTTAAAACAGATTTCCATTTGCAAACATATCGTTTGAAACAATAGTTCAGTTATGGCACACTAATAGTTTCAAACATATCAACGCGTCCTGAGTACAGGGTTACATAATATTTGCATTTGGCTAGAAAATATGATATCATTGTAGCTGAAGATTCCTGTCTTCATATATATTGCTATTTATAGTATTCCTTAAAAGATATCTTTATAACTTACATTGACCCAATCAACGTGATCCTGCAGTTTGTCGACGGAATGAGCTAGAAGTTTTGTGTTCCTGCGTTCAAACTGAGGTTGATGCACTGCTAAACGACCTAACTCAGTGGTGCAAACTGGTGTGAAGTCAGCAGGATGGGAGAATAATACTACCCATCTATAATTGATAAAAACAAAAATAATGTAGAGAGAAGTACCATAAATCATCCATTATTATATAATATTATACATATTATACAGGGTGTCCCAGCAACGGTAGTACAGCCGGGAAGAGGGTGATTCTACATTCAGAAACGAATAAAAAAAAAAAAATAAAATTTTTTTAATCGAAGCTTCGTTTACGAGAAAATTAACTTTGAATATTCATCGAATTCGCGTGCACTTAGTTATGGCTTATATGAATAAATTATCAATACATGAGTATCGGTGGTACAATCGAGGAGGTAGCTATTCTAAATAAAAGAACAGATCGAAAATAAAAAATCAAATTTTTCATTCGAAGCTTCGTTGTCGAGGAAATCGATTTTTCGACCATCAGTGAATATTCAATGAATGAATGACCATCGGTGAATATTCAAAGTCAATTTTTTTGACAACGAAGCTTCGAATCAAAAAATTTTATTCCTTTTTTTTTCGATTCATTTCGGCATGTAGAATCACCCCCTTCTCAGTTGTACTACCGTTGCTGGGACACCCTGTATATACTCATATGATATCATATAATATCAGTGTGTATAGTGATTGAAAATTAAGTTGGCTTGATCTAAAGATATTTTTTATTAATTTTTATTACGTCAAAATTAAATAAAGCTTTAGACACATATTAATAATAACTTTTACAATGGATAAATAAAAGATACATGTTATATACTATATAATAGAATATGATAAAAATGACGGAAATATCCCTACAAAATTTAAAAGAGGGTTTAAGAAACATCTACTTTTAACGTACTAAAAAAAATGAGTTGATGACACTAATTACGTAAATGAGGTCAAAGATACTTATATTTTAAATATGATATTTAATATATTCCAGATTTTTTAGCATACTTATAGTGAGATAGTATAATTACCTATTTCTATCCAAGATACTAATAATGTATGTTTAAAAGTAATTTTAAGTTTTAAATTAGATAGTCTTATAAGTATTTTATAACATTCTAGGTTCTCAGATATAACTCATAATAATAATTCATTTTCATTTTCATTTTTCTCAAAACAATTTTTTACAACTGTTGAAGTATGCTTTAGAACACTATTCTGTTGTAAAATATTAAATGATCCTTGAAATCCAATTTTTTGTAGCAACGGTTATTTCAGTGTGTAAAACGATGTATTAAATTACATGTATTTTTAGTTCTATATACATCACTGTTAGTATCGACGTACTTTCCATGATATGTTAAAAATGAATGATTATTCTTCCAAAGGTTTTAGGAATAGTGCCACCATTTTACCTTCTCGTGTTTTACTATATATGTACATATTATTGTAAAAGCTCAAAAGTTGCAAAATCGTGAGTTTAATGCCCGAAGGTTGGTAACATGTATAATCATATTATATAATATATAGTATAATATAATAATAATACATATATCACGTGTTTAATAATAATATACAATCACATTTGTCATTTATTATAATATTATAGAAACTTTTTTTTACAGTGTACCTATCATATTTTGGTATAATGTCAAAAATATCAATGCTTGATACAGTACGAATTCACCCTATATAGTTTTTGCACTTTAAATATTATAAATATTAAAAATATAGTTTTTTGGACATCAAATTTATCCTTGTGCAGATCAAATTCACCATTTTGCAAATCAAATTCACCGATTTGCAAATCAAGTACTTGTATATAAATATTTTATTTAAAGGATATATATGATGTACTAGATATTTATTTAGCAATAATTACTATTTCATTAAAGTACATATGTATTTCATAATTTATAATTATGTTAATTGTGTGTATTATATATATACAGGTAAATTTATGTGTAAATATATAATCTAGACTATAATGGTTCCTCTACAGCTGCTTCTGGTAACTTCACATATGTACATATTCATCTAATAATTATAACAATTTGTGGAAGTAACAATTGCTACTGAGTTGTTAATTACATTTACCAAATTTTCACGATTTGAAGAATCAGCTAACATACTTTTTATACAAAATTTTACTTTGGAAAAGACTTCTTCGATGGGATTCGTCATTGAAGAATACGATGGTAGGAGAAGTAGAGTGTGCTTTGTCTGACCAACAATGCCACGGATTTCCTGCGTCTCCTGGACACTTGCGTTGTCCAAAATCAGCCAACCTTCATCCATATTATCGTCTTCCAGTTTATGAAGTAATCTCCTAAGAAAGTCGCGGAAAATACTTGCGGTAACTTTAGACTTCGTGCCATACTATTCCCTGAACATTAATTGACGCAATTAGGAAAATATTTCATCTTCTTATGTTGGCATGGTCACATGAGCTGGCGCGTTAATTTTCGATCGTGCTTTCGTTCGTCAAAAATGATAATTAAACCCGAACACATCAATGAATATTATTTTTTGCCTTTTGCGGCAGCAGCTGCAGGAAAACCATTATAGTCTAGGCTATACATGTACAAATAAATTTATCTATATGTATGTAATACACACAATTAATCATAAAATATACAATATATATGTACTTTAATAAAATGGTGATTACTGTTAAATAAATATCTCATACATCATATACATCCTTTTAATACAATTTTTTATTTCTTACTGGCTATGATGGGTATGTTCTTTTAAATGAAATATTTAAGTACAAGTACCTGATTTGCAAAATGGTGAATTTGATTTACAAAAGAATGAATTTTATCCGCAAAAGGGTGAATTTAATTTACAAAATGGTGAACTTAATTTACAAAGAGATGAATTTGAACTGCAAAAGGATGAATTCGATTTGCCAAAGGATGAATTTGATCTGCAAAAGGACAAATTAGATTTGCAAAAGGGTAAATTTAAAGTGCAAAAACTGTATATATTTATTTCATGTATAATTTTAAACTTTGGAAACTTCTATATTCGTTACCACAGTTAAAGATATAATTTGAAATATTATATATAAGAAATATACGTTACATAATGAATATAGTTTAAAGCGATATATAATTTACTTATAATATTCCAGTTTTGTCATACCTTTCTCTCCAGTTTTATCTGTTTATCAATAATTATTGTCCACAGACAATGTAGACAGATTACTTAATTACTCATATTCAATGTCAGTTATGATACAATCGAAATGTAGAACTGGATATGATAACGAATTATATGTTATGGAATATTTTTTTAAAGCTTAACATTAACTTAATTTACAGATCTCTAATAAATGTAAAAGCAATTACAATTAAAATAATAATTTACTACTCGATTCTAAATTATTACTTATTACTTTTATTTTTTATTGTATATATTATTTTATTGTATTTTACATTTTATATTTTATTTAGAAATATTATATAATCATTTTATTTAGTTATTTTTTTTGTCGTTTAGTTTTATTTGTTTCATTTTATTTATCTTATCTTTGTATACAATATATACAACATATACTAACCGTACATATATGTACTATTATATGCATAGAGATAAATGCGTATTTAGGCCGTATAATATATTATTAAGGGCCATTATGGCAATATCAGGCTATGATAAATGAATTGAATAGGGGAAATATTTCATATTACACACTTACTTAAATTTAAGTGATAACTTTTTTATTTGGCTTTTTATAGTCACAATAGAAAATCGTTACTATTTCAATTACTATTATAGAAAAGAACTTTAATAAGAAATCAGGAGAAAAATGATAAAAAATATAGCGAATATTAATAAAAGTCACAATTAAAAATAATTTTTAATTATAATCGATTGAAAATGACATTTAACTATAAAGAATAGTAATGCTTGAAGTGAATAAATGAAAAATTAAGTATATAAAAATTTATAAATTTTTTCATTAAACAAGTTTATTTGTATTAAAACGTTTGATTTTAATAATCTAAATATTTTACTATTTAAAATTTTTTATTGACGAAGATATTTCTCATTAAAATTCTTTGAGAGATACGTGGATCTATATTACGTGTATACCTATAAACATCAGATTTTCAAAATGAATAGCAAACTGCTGAAAAATCTTATCGTTACAATTAGTAAACACACATCGTTATAATTTATTAATAATTTCAAACAATATACTTCAATTATTTTTCCAATTCCTATTATTTTATAAAACTTAAATATTTAATTAACTATATGAAAATGTTTATAGCAATTTAAATGAACGCTACATCTAAGCGAATGAGGAATAAATAAATATAATTAAACTTACGAATCTCCTTGCCAAGTATAAAAATTAATTCGTCCCTGAGTAGTCTCTGCCACAAAATTCGGGATAATAGAATTAAGTCGCATGGTTGATTTATTAAAATTTATGCACAACAAAACAATTCCACTTGAAACAAAGATTCGCAGAGATTTAATCTCGTATACTGCTCGAAGTAAACGTTAGTTCTACGAGTACGTTTAACGCACAAATGACGCGCCAACGGTTCTATTTAAACTTCAGCTCTTAGTTCCCCCTACTTCGTTCTTATCGCCCTAACAGATGTCACTCTATCTCTTGTATATGTGTAATAGCGTGTATGCCTACCAAATAGTAAACACGCCTATTTTTCGCAAAAAGGAGGCGACTTTTACTATATCATTAAAACACGGGAAAAGAAGGATTTTAACTGTGATTGATTCTATCGTATGCAAAGAAAGTTATTTTAATGCAGCATTATTCTAAACACGAACCACTTCACAAAGCAATTGATCGAAAGCAAAGAAATATTTTTGAGGTTATGTATACATAATAAGTATGTCTGAAATTCCGAAATTAAATCTGACATCTGATTGCAATTTGCGGTTGTGTATCATCAACATGAATAAAATGTATGTTAACATACGATTGTGCACGCATGTTTATTGCATATAAACGGGTGAAATACGTCAATGCATGCTTAATCATCAAACGAGTGAAACTATTAATCGGTACATAAAGTTTGAAATTCCTCTTTAATTTATTTGAATTTCATTCTCGCATAAATTTTCTTTCGTAGAATTTTTTTTAATATTAAAACATATTGTATTTAAATATTTCGCTTCACAAGTTTTTATCATTATATATTTTAGTATTTCACCAATATTCAATGAATAATACTGTTAAATTATTCTTTTTTTAAGTTTTATTACTTACCTTTATTTATTACTTTCTATTAATTTGATAATTTTTTAATATTTTTTTAGAATTTATTACATGATTATGTTATGCATATCTAAATTTTTGTTTATGGGAATGATTGAAAAATAAAAAGATCGAATTCCTTTTGTATATCTTGAAATATTTTATACAAAAATAATAAAGGATAGGAAGATTAATGCAGGACACTGGGTGCTTTATGTTTACTAAGATATGTACGAATTAAAAACAATTTTAAATTTTAATATGAAACTATTGTATAATTGCAATATACTAAAATGTTTTTATACATAAAAATATATGAAAAAAATATGACAAAATAGTTCAAATGTTTTCATATGAGATGGTATGTAGTGTAAATATATTAAATTGTTATTTTTTCATATATTTTTATATGTAATATTTTTGTTATTTCACAGAATTTTTCATAAAATTTTGCAAAACGTGATTATCAAAAATTTAATTATAATATTTCTTAGACATTATATAAAATTGAAGTCGAGAAGTTTAAGAAATCCAGAATGAAACAAAAATGTGGATTTATTATGAATTTATTATCATATCAAATTAATAAGGTATAAGAATCTTTTCTGGTATTGAACGTAATTGCTTGCTCCCACCTATTTGTTCCATAAGTATCTACTTCCTCCGTACCGACTGATATTGAATCTACAGTCATTGAGAAACGTGCGTGTATTAGGTAGATTAGATTAAGTAAACGAGAGACAGTTCAACGGGTTTAGATGTTATGACAAATAATGTAACATTCGAGAGGTATGATAACATTTTTCAACATCTTCAAAAACTGTTTAAAAATGCATTTGCATATATGTTTATTACAATTGTTTATCAGATTTCAAAACATTATTCTTTGGGTACGTCTAAAATACAGAAAATACCTACATACATTACTTGTTTCTCAATTTTTTTAGAAAACCTTTGTTTTTATGATACCTATGAAGATCAATTTTGTTACTTGAAAGAACGATATTATCATAAAGCTAGTTATCGCAAGTTATGTCATCCTAATTAATATTAAAAAATTTATTTACATTTAATTTCTTATTATAACATTCATATCTTTTATCAAGTTCGAAGTACATAGTTTGTATGTTACAAAAGAATTTTAGTAATATGTAATAACATTGAACAAAAAAAAAGTATATTATTGACTAAAAAATATGATAATTATAAAACGTGTGACGATCCCCAATCGCTCCTACATATCTTCAAGATTTAATTATACACAATTTAAGATTCGTGAGATAAAATTCTATAATCAGAGCTTAATCAGTATAATCAGAGCAGCGACTGTAATCTGACAATGTGAATAAAATTGGTAAAATTTGAATAGCAAACAGAGTGCTTATCAAGTTCTTCTGTATCGAATTAATCACTAATCACAGTTTACGTCCGGTATTGAAGATGTTGATTAGATTGAAATACGATATAGATTGAAATATGATATAAAAGTGAAATTAACTATTAATTAATCATTTCGTAATGTTTGTAATCGTACAAAATAATTTTTGAGAAAATTTCATAGTATAAGATTTTCTATTTATTGTTTCTTTAAATGTCTGTGTATGTATGTATGTATGTGTATATATATATACATATACACACATATTATGCAATAAACATGATTTATTCCTGATAAAGATTTGCTTTTTTGTAATTTCAGATGTGAATTAAATTATTCGTAACTGTTTGAAGAAGACATTCATACATATATTTATGTTCACTTTTATTCCAAGATACGATAAATTCATTTTCATTATATTATTTTAATTAGTATTATTTATGTATACACATGTATCTTATATTCACGCATAACAGTCAGTAATGAAAAAAGAAATTAACTTCGATAAAGATGATCAGTTGGACTTCATTTAATCAGTTAAAGAACATTCTTTATGAATTATGAAAAATAATTTATAAAAATGGAAAAAAAAATTACAGGAAAACAAATACTCAGTAAATTTAATCTTTCAATGAACATAATAGCAAATTTATAACTCATCTCATTTCTCTATGTGATTCAACTAGATCGTGACTACATTTCGATACTATACATTTTTGTAAAAGATGTAAAGTTGTAAAATTTTTACGAAAAATTTTATGTCGTGTTATGGATTAATTTACTTTACATTACTTTAATTTACAATTAATTCATGATTAAGTATAAGATTAAGTATAATTAAATTTCTTTTATATCAAAATGCAGTTAGTATTCTTCAAAGAAGTTTGCTAAAAGATAATAAATGATGAGACGGATTGAGTAAGAAACACAAAGAGTGAATGGCCTTCTAATAATCATAAAATATTTTAACGCAGTTAAAAACAATTTTATTAAAATTTAACAAACATGGTAAATTTGATAATACCAAATGCAAAAATTCAGTTTTATACTTGAATTCGTGAAAACAACTAAGTTCAGAGTTGCTAAACGATAAACTTCATTTCTTTTTCCTAATATACATTACATCATGTTGCATCAAAATCCAAGATAATAGCAATAAGAAGAAAAAGTGATCTATTTAGAGCAAAATTACGCTATCTTTCCACTATATTGCATCGTTTCCAGCATATCGACTACAGTTTTGTTTCTCTTAGATCAACAGTATTTGGAATGCTCAGTATAATAATAATTACTATTCGGATAAAAAAAAATTAACTGATACACCATTCAAACAGAATAAAACAATTAAACCTAAATCATGTTACTAAAAACTAGAAACCACTACATGTTTCATGGATGGACGAGAATCTAAGACTTCAAACAAACAAAAAATATTATTTATTTTATATGAAAAAACAAAAAGTCAATTTATATTCTTTTATATTAAGTGATTAAATTTGACCACATACATATACAGGGTGTCTCAGCAAAGATAGTACAATTAGGAAGAGGGTGATTCTATATGAAAAAACAAATCGAAAATAAAGAATAAAATTTTTTCATTCGAAGCTTCATTATGAAAATCGACTTTACGCGTCGATTCGGTATGGAAGTCGAGGGTTCACCGAAAACTTACGAGAAACCTCCGTTTTTCATCTAGTGGTAAAAGTAAGATCGTTGGTCGCAAGTTTTAAATCCTCGGCAATTCCATATTTAACGTACCATATTCCATCAAAAGAACCACGATCGTATTTTGTTTTCTCGAAAAATAATGTCTTCTGCCAATTCTGACTTATTGTTAATCAATCTTTACAGTGAGTGATTACTTTTACATAACATGAGATTTTACAGACATCTGTAGGCATATAATAAGAAAAGTGTTGTTAACCAAAATTTATCTATATAGGGTGCATAATAAACAGTGGTAAGACGAATGTTAAATACAGCTTGTTTTCATTGCAAAACCAAAGGTTACTTTGAGATTTTCGGTAAATAAAATCACATATTGCTCTTTTTCGTTGTATTATAAAAGATATTAAGAGAAATTCAAAAAGCATGTTACATGGTATTTTTGGTTACACGATATGAAGTTTTCATGAGTGAAGATGGTAATCTATCAAGGACTATCTATTTTTCCTATCGTCTGCAGAATATATGTATTCAAATATTATTATACTAGGTACCATTATGGTAAGTACTATTGTATAAGAACTGCTATATTATGTATACATTACAGTAAATACTTTTATTGTGGATACCACTATAGCAGGTACTATTTACCAGTACCCACTAAATAATATTACTTTTTACTTAGAACTATTTTGTTAGTATAACAACTATAATAAAGATCACAACTGTTTTAATAAGGATCACAGTAAGCACTATATTATGTGCTCAGATGAGCAAAGTACATTTTGACTAGAACATTAGAGACGTGAAAGAAGATTGTTTGTACTGAAGACTTGACTACTTGGGTACTTGAGTACCTCTGTTTCAGACGGACAAACCTGAATAAAAGGAATATAAATAAGAAAATTCGGAAGTACAGGGTTACTGAATCCTTTGAACCTTTGTAGAATCATAATTAAGTACTTACTTGAAAACATTACATAAAATTTTATCCCACTTGCACATTTCTTTAATCAATAACGTATCTACGTTGATACAGTTTTGTCAAATTAAATTAAACCAAGTATTAAGTTAAAAGGGTGACGTGGGTAAAATGAAAAAGGACTACGTTGGCGTCGAATGTTTGGTTTTATTATCACGGCCATTGCGGTGAAACCGGTTCAGTGTAATACACGTTGCGACTGCTCTGGACTGGCTATCCTCTGCAGTCCTTTTTTCGATACTTTTTTGAGGAAAGTCATTTGCCTTCCCGAGGGGGTGAAGTTGGGGCACACCGTGGAGGAAAACCGTATTATGGGCGACTTGTTTATTATCACACGAGCTCGGGTGCATTCCCACAAAGTTTTATGTCTAAAAATTAGGAAGCGTAGGGTAAAACAGAATATCGAATCTAATTCGACATAAGCCAGTAAAGGGTTAAAGTTAATCGTAAAGTTAGTCCTAACTAGTCCGTTGCCACTCCACTAAACCATTGCATTGTAATGATTCCGAACAGAACTGAATTAAACGCTAAATTAAATGACAAATTTTCAATTGCAAATATCTTAAAAATTATTGAGTATCTATTGAGTAATTATTGAGCACCTATAATCATACATCTTCATCATCATGGGAACTAAATCTACCATCCTAGAAAATTTGAACGAAATCGGTGACACGAAGACCTTGCAATCTCCTTGTAAGAATAAAAATCATTTTTATAGGAATCATAGCCACAATCATAATCTAGTTACAGTTTTGTTAAATGTATTTATTTATTTACTATAGACATGTTATGGAATATATTTACATTTATTTACTTATCTTTTTCTGCTTATCTCTTACAGATTTTTTCAGGGGATCACAGTAGAGTACTGCTTTAAGTGGTAGACTTATTTTTAAAATCGTTTTTCAAGCCTATCAATCTTTAGTTGATCATAACACATGCATATTAATTTTTGATTCCAATATCATGCTTACTTAATACGTTAACGCTTTTACAAATAATTTCTTCAATTCCTTAAAGCTAAAAATTATCTCAAGAGAAAAATGTCTAGAACTGATAGTCATAAGCTGAATGATATGAATTGTTGAATTTGTTATGAGACATCATATTTATAAAATATACTTCTTATTTTAATTTAAGAAAAATTATTTATTATAATAAGCTTTATATTATAATTTATATGTTTCTAGATTTTAACATTATGAAAATATTTATTATAATAGTTTACAGTATAATTTTTAACATCTTTTATGATAGTCTGTTTATTATAATTTATAATACCACTTAATCTCACCACCCAAGCTCCAAAGTTTTTAGCTCAGTGGCTTATCACGTGCATTTGTTGTGCATTATGGTACAATAGAACTATATTCTTTAATTTAAAATCACTTTTGAAATATAATATTTCACTGATTGGAAAGACAACGTTCGTCAATGATCAGATCGTGATGACCAAAGGATGTTTATATGCTTATTTAAAATATAAAAGAAGTACTATTTGGAATGGACCATATGGATCTTAACAACAATACTTCTTCTATCTACAATGGAAGTTATTCGTAATTCAAATCAAAAGCAATGTCAGCAAATGTCTTACTTTACTTTTATAGCATCTCGATTAACTCTCCTTTAGGTAGCAAATTCCTAGCTTCATCCATTCTAGTTCGTTGCAGGAATGAGCCTCAAGCAGATAGAGAAACACTATAGACATTGATAGAATACTAATATCTATATCTGCGTAGAAAACTGTTGAAGGAATCCGATATAAGTGACTTGCTGAAAATATGGTTTCAAACTAATATTTCCAACTCAAGTATTAGCAAACGTTAAGTTTAAAAAAAGAATCAGACTTAAAAAAAATTTAAACTTAAAAAGAATTTAAAAAAACATTAAAACGACTATATTATTAACATTTGGCAATATTTATTCGATATTGCAAGATTAGTAAGGTCACATATGCATTTATGTTAGTCCAAAAAGAAAAACTCAAATGGGAAGATAGTGGTTGCATAATACAATGTATAATCTGAATTACAGATTCTTCTCTTACCTCGTGACTGATGTATCATCATTTGTAAATATACCACAGGTTTTATTCCATGGTTACAACATACACCTAAAGCCATTACCATATAGCATTAAATGAATAGTTAAGAATACTGAAAGAGCTAACACGAAGTAAACACTAATATCTTTTTATGGTTGTAATATTATTTAATAATAATAATAATAAATATTAATATAATAAATTTAATAATAAATTTTATTCAATATTATTTTATACTTTATATTATATTATACTTTTCTTTATTACAATGTTATTTAATAGTTTTATAATAATTATTTTCTATAGTTGTAATAGAATTTAATTATTAATGAAATAATGAATATTAAAGTTTCAATTATATTATAATTCTTAGCTTTCTGTAGTTATATTATTTAATTTTATTAATAATATATTCAGTATATCATAACTATCACCTTTTTGTCATTATAATATCATTTCATTATTAATAAAAGTTTAATAATATTACGACCATCACCGTTTCTATGTTAATAATATAACTTAAATGAACTTATGGTAAGGCTACAAAAATATATGAAATGTACTGAAGAAGATAAACATTCTATTTGTTTTCGAAATCTCAGTGGTGTGAGTTATACATTTTAGAAAACTACTGCGAACATTTCACTATGATTATATCTAATTTCATCATAAGAAAAAGATATATATCGATAGTGATACGGAAATTTTACGATAAGACTTATTTTTAAGTATTATACTCATGTCGCTGATTACTACTCACTAATCATATTATTTTTTAATTGATCACTTGAATAATTAAATCTCATTATATTTAAATATTACTTCGGTCATAAGATATCGATTACACAATTATTATAATACATTTAATAAATACAGTATATTAATTTGATATATAATTTTCAGGTCGCCGTTCCAGATGTTGTCGAAGCTGCAAAAGATGCAGATATTCTTATTTTTGTATTACCTCATCAGTTCATACGTACATTGTGTGCAACATTGCTTGATAAAATTAAACCAACTGCAGTTGGTTTATCGTTAATTAAGGTTCATAGTCTTAATAAATATTTTATTTAGTTATAATATCGATTAGAATATTTTATACATATTAATGAATTTTTTATTTTCATCAAGGGTTTTGATCGTGGAGATGGATCAAATATCGAACTGATTTCTAAAATCATTGAAAAACATTTAAGAATTCAATGCTATGTTTTAATGGGTGCTAATTTAGCCAATGAAGTTGCTGAGGAAAAGTTCTGTGAAACAACTATCGGTAATTAATATTTAATAAAAATTATGCAATATAATGTGTAATATATTAAATTAATTTATTATTTCTGTCAAACAAATTTTTTTTTAGTAAGGAAATATAATTCGATTAACTTCTTCTAGAAATTATTTTAAAAACTTGTAATAAATTACGTTGTGAAAAAAATTATAGAAATTATTGAAAAATCCATTATTGGACAAATAATAAAAATGATTAAAGAATATGTTATTAAAGAAGTAATAAAAATTACATTATTGAAAGGTTCCAAATTATAACCATACGCGAACTCTTTAAATTATGTTAAATAGAATTTTACGAAATATATAATTTTTTATTTGAAAATATTTTTTTATATTCGAATAATAAAATTAACAATTAATTTTATAATAATATAAACTCTAAAAATAATTAATAAAGTAATAATCATAAAAAGATTAAATAATAATAATTAAAAAGATGTCAAGTTAGATTTTTAATATTTTAAAATTCATTCATTCTTTTTCTTCCACCTTGATACGAAAAATATAAAATTATATAATTTGATATATGTGAATAATTTACATAATCTTGTTATAAGTAAATTTTAGTAAGGTTTTCAATATACATAGAAAAGATAAAATTATATTTTCATAAAAATATATAATTAAAACAAATAATGATTTAATGAACAATTGAACATAATGTATATAACTGATTACAATTTTTTTTATTCAAGGTTGCAAAGATAAACGACTGGCTCCATTGCTAAGGGACCTTATTCAAACACCAAACTTTAGAGTTGTAGTTGTTGAAGACTGTGAAGCCGTTGAAGTATGCGGTGCCTTAAAGGTATGTAAACTTAAATATTCCAAAATAATCCTTTTCTAATGCATATTTAATAATTGTAAGTAATTTACGTTTCAGAATATTGTGGCATGTGCTGCTGGTTTCGTAGATGGTATGGGACTTGGGGATAACACAAAAGCAGCTGTTATCAGATTGGGATTAATGGAAATGGTTAGGTTTGTGGATACATTTTACCCTGGTTCAAAACTTTCTACATTTTTCGAAAGTTGTGGTGTAGCAGATTTGATAACTACTTGTTATGGTGGAAGGAATCGTAGAGTTTGTGAACAATATGTTAGAAGTGGCAAAGTATGAATTACATTATATTCTTGGTTTAATTTATATTCTTAAAAAATGAATTAGATATCTAAAAAAATTTTATCATATTTTTTATGATAGACCATTAGACAGCTTGAAGAAGAACTTCTAAGTGGACAAAAATTGCAAGGACCAGCCACAGCCGATGAAGTTCACGGAATGTTGAAAAGTCGTAATTTAACAGAAAAATTCCCCTTATTTACTGCCGTACATCGCATATGTACTGATCAAATAAGACCAGCAGATTTACTTGATCAAATTCGTAACCATCCTGAACATGTGTTAGTATAAAATTTAAATCATTTATAACTATATATATATTCATTAGATCTCATAAAATAATCTCATGAAACCAATATTCCATTAGGTTTGCTCCAAAAACATTATATATCTACTAAATACTGATCTCATATTTTTTTTACCGAGACACTGCCAAAATTGTTTCTTAACAAATACAAAAACCCACTTATGTCGGGATAAGGTGCTGTATATAGTGACAATTTACTAATCAGTATAAAAGAATAACAATCATTCTAATTAAGTAAGTAATACTTGGGTATCAATTTTGCTATCCCAAGCATGGTTTCTAAATATTTATAATATTTAATTTCTATGAAATGTATTAAATCATGATTTATACATTTTGTAGAATGAAGATTGAAGGCGCTGCATAACTGGAGACTAAAAATGACTTAATGTAAACATCATTTTCTTGTTAATATCAGTTTTAAAAATTAATTAGAATTGATTAAGAAGAAAAGACGAGTTACTAGGAAAAATGTTATGTTGCAGATATCTTACAATAATTAGTTTTTACATTATTTACGATTGGCTTCTATCACAATATTACGTATTTTTCTGATGATATACAGTTGTATTGTGTAATATATAATAAAAAGTTAAAACTTGATTCTTCTGTAATAATTTGTAACTTACGATACGTTATTCAAATACTTAAAATTTTTTAGATAATTATTTAATCTTCGTAAAAACATCAAAACAAGCATATATTAAAAATAGTTACGAAGTATTAAGTGTACAAAAATCATTAAAGGTGTACAAAATAGTCAAGAACTATTTACATAAATATACATTTTTGTAAAGTAACACATTTTTTTTATTTTAGACAAAACTATCTTAATTCATTACAGAAACAAAATTTATTTTACATTACTATAATTACTTATCATTATTTCTCTTTATCTTTTGAAGTAGGATCTAAATCTACATTCTTCTCATTATTCCTACTGCATTGCTTATTATTATCAATATAAGGTACATTATCTATCAATGTATCAGGTCTAATACGCAGTTCTAAAACATTATAAAACGAAATTATACATAAGGAAATTGCACATTATATTACTTCTACAAATTTTAAGAATATTACCGTACTTTCCGGGTTCTTTTTCAACTGCTTGAATTATTGTTGTTCGCATTTCGTGTTCTACCTCCTCCGCAAATTTATTTAACTAAAATAGTATTTATTTAACAATTCTTCCAAATTCAAAAAATTTTCTAAAAAAAAGTCATGATCCATATTATAGTCTTGTCAGTCATAGAAACATAATATCAAACAAATATAAAATTACTATTGATTTTATCTTTTGATAAAATGGACAATAAATTGGATCAATACTTTTTATATAAGATAAGATACTAATTACAAAGTTATATACAAATTAATTGATAAAGAATTAATGAATTAAAAATATTTAAAAATACTCAGCACACAATATTCAACTATTTTTTATACGAAATAACTACAAGTATTCAAATAATAGAAGCATCAAAGTGCATCAAATAGAGTAGGTGAAATACTTTTCTTGTCCTATGTTATTTCACGAGCGAATTTTTCAACTCTGCACATTAAGATATGAAGTTGACTACTCCAAGAAACCAGATCTGATTGGCCATAATATAATGACTTACCCTTTTCCACAAAATCTAAAAGTACACGAATATTCGTAATCGGTTAAAACTGTCGAAGCTATCATATCTAAATCCTATATATCTGCAAATGAAATGAAACGATAACGAACTGTAAGAGACATTAACATGGGTGTAGACCTAGAGCAATAACCACTAATATAAGATAAAAATTGTGATAACGTAATATATCCTACTATAATGTCAACGGAAGTGTAAAGGTGCAGTCAGACTAAGCGAGTAGAATCTCTTTTTAGATAAGCAGTCTGTTGGAGTAGCATTACGTAAGTTTTATATAAAAGGTACATCAATGACAGATGAATTATCTTATTCAATATATCTTATCACGATTTCAAGTGCTTTCTTCCCACCTAAATATCTTATTCTTTTTTTCATTCCTATCTTCACTTGAAGCAGCTGAATTATTTATTTTCCATTATTTCTCTTTATGGTGAGACATTATATATCTTCATAATTAACAAAATATGAGACAACGAAAATGTTTTACGCGTGAATTAAATTATTTTCTTATACATTTTTACTAACTTCACGAATACTTACTCCTCTCATTTGATCGAGTCGATCACACGAGACTTACACGAACTCACATATTACATATTTACGCGAATTAATTGTGAACCAAATATAGTCATAAAATTATATAATTAGTATACTTCATAAATTTTAAATAATTCTTTGAATTTTTTACACTTAGTGATGAAAACGCAAATACAATTTATGTTTTGAATGAGATTTTGAATAATATATAATTATACTCTTATCACTAAAATTTTATTATATATCATTATATTTAATGTAAATTATATTATCTAAAATAAAATACATATATAATATATAACATCTAATATATATTGTATATTATATTTTATTATATTTAAGTACAAACTTTTCTAAAAGCGTAGAAAATTTAATATTTATTGACCTCGAAATAATAAGAGAAACGTATGTACATTTATATGTGATGATAATAAATAAGGCAATATAGATTGGTAGTTTACTAATAATGTAATAATTATCACACTGATACGATATTTTTCGTTTTTCTTATTGTAAGAAACAAGTTATGTAACGATTATAATGTTTCTTTGATAGTATTATATTTATCACCATTGAAAAACATTGAACATTAAATTTTAACATTAATAAACATATTTCTTGATTTTCTTTCTTCTTAGTATTCTTTTCAATTAATTTCTTCTACTAATTCCGTACTTGAAAACGTAAAGTGCTTTATCTTTATGAATAATTATTATACACTCTAATAGTAATAAAAAATTATTTTAACTGTATACTTGAAACCCAAAACTAAAGTTCTAATTAATTCTTGATATTTTTACCTTTTTTCTTGTTTTTCATTAAAAATCAAATTCTAATGATATACTCATATGCTCAATCGAAATTTCTTTTATGGCAATATTTTATATGATTCCTATATTAGACATCTTAAGGGAAATATACGGTACCAAAACGAAGATTTATCTGGCTACATCTTCCACTAACATTAAATTAATAATGATAGAACTTCAATTTTTGATCTTGTTCATTTTTAAAACAAATTAATAAATATTCTGAATATTATAGTTTATAATGGTAAATACGTAAGGCAGTGTTGAAATATAAGAAAAAAATGTTTAGAAAAAGTACTAATGAAAATGAAAAAAAAAAAAACAAGATCATTTAAAAAACCATGTTATTAAGTATTAGAATTTGAATAATAAATATCTTCTTATTTTTATTTAATTTCATATACAAGGAATAACATGATCATTTTATTTTTACTCAATTTTATTTGAATAATTTTAATTACTTCATTATATAAAAATAATTTTTTTAAAAAAAGCTAGCCTGACTCCATTATAATATACTGTCTAATTGTAAGAAAAAGAAGATTTAAAATCTTCGTATAAGATGCACGTAATTTTCGTTACGCATTTTAGAAATCGTGTAAAAGAAAGCAAAACTCATGAAGAAGCATACTATATAAAAACAAATAAAACATATAAATGAAAAACTGTAAATATAAATAAAATTTATTAAAAAGAATATGTAAATGAAAATCATATAAAAAAATACGGCATAAGAAACACAAATATGAGTACATTTAAATCTTCATTAAATCCAACATAATTTCAAAAGTTATAAAGATACATTGACCATATAAATGATAAAATAGTATCTCATTTAATATACATTTATATATTTTAAATAAATACGACTAATAAATATAAAAAATAATCATTGTTGTTTGAATAAATTTCTTTGTCCTCAATAAATTCGTCTTTGAATAGGTTAAATATCTCTAAACATCGAGATAGTTTAAGTACACAGTTGTCTTTTATTGAAATTATAAGAACTAACAAGACGTGTATAGTTGATCCAAACGACATAGCAAGGTCGTAAATTATTATCTAACAACAGCTCCTCTTGAAACCGAAATGACACCGCAGATGTCGCCAACACTCGGGACCGTCTATAGTTTACAATTTGTAACTGTAGTACGCGTGGAATTTAACTTAATTTTTTGTTTGTAATCTAAAACTTCGTAAGATTCCGAAACTTTCAAAATTGTGAGTAATTTTTAAGTTAAAATTTCCTAAGATTCTGAAAATTTTCGAAAGAAAAAAAAAAAAACGTAACATTTCGAAATTTTCGAAACTGTTGAAAATTTCAATCCGAAAATTCTCAAAGTTTTTGAAACTTGAAGTAATGATTTTATTTTGTAACAACAACATAATTTTTACATAAATATTTGATGTTCACAACACCTAAATAATGACATAACAATATAAAAAAATATTTCAGCCAAATTTTTGTCCAAGAACACTAACTTTAGAACTTTTTATGAATCTAATGTACTTTCCCTCTAACAATTATAAAGCTAAATGTATTAAAAAATCTTTCAAAGAAATAATTTTTTTTTCTTTATTCATCAATTTATCAAATTTTTATTCATTAATCTTATACCTTAATTGAGAGAAAATTTCATATCAAAAAGTTTTAAAGAAGTTTAAAAAGTTTCGGATCTTAGAGGAAGAACAAATTTCCGAATTTTAAGTATTCGGAATTTTCTTAGGTTTCACGGCATTTCCAAATACTTTATTAATATTTTATGCCAAACAGTAAAATGGAAAAACTGTTAATTAGCTTCCAGTTTCAGCTTAGTTCATTAACTACTAATTTATTACCATTAAATTTGTTGTAATATGTTAAAAGAATTTTAACTTCTTGTAAGTCATTGACAGCAACACCCAGCAACAGAAGAACCTATTAAAAATCGACATTATACCGCGTTAATTGATCGATCTTTATTTTTTCAATACACCTCATATTGCTGTTTCAAAAGTTGAAATCTATATCTACTATCACACTTGACTGATTGTATAACCTTGCTATATCGTTTGAACAAATTATGCGCATAAGACCTGAATAACTAATGACATTGAAGTAATAAAAAGCATGTTTAAGTATTCATTCCTAACATTTTTTCACACTAAGTATGTATACAAACTATTACAAAAGTAGCATTTAAGACTATAATATAAGCTTATAGAAATAATCAACATAAATCCAAAATTCAATACAAAGAAAGAGTAACCAAAATTTATCAATATTCAATATGAAAAGTATTGAAGCAAAATTACTAGATAAGATGAAGTGATTCAAATCCATGTTTGCAAAAGAAACTAGTCTTCTGAGGAGTTTCTTTTCTACTAAAAGAGTAAGAATGCACATATTAAAACTACCAAACCAGTTAAAATAATTAGTTTCAGAAGCATACAGTTGCTTTTAATAACATTAATATATACTTTTATTAATATAAAACTCTGATTAAAATATAATGTATTATATCACATTACTTATTTAGTTATTTTTATCATAACACTTTAATTCTTATTTAGATATGTATAATATTATATAGTTATAATATTATATAATTCTAGTGTTTAAGCTTTAACAAATAACAGCTGGAATGAAGACCAAGAAATTATCCAAAATGCAAAATAGTTTAATCATATGGCATTCATAACTCTTGATATGATTCCATGATAAAAAAAAGGCAATTATACTTCCTCGATGCACTGTTGTGTTATAGATAAAAATAATGTTGGAACTATTTAACTGTTTCATTTATTACTTTTGAATATTGTTAACTGTGTAAAAGATATGTTTCATACCAATTGCGTGAATCATTCTATATATTTTAATATTTGTTACAAAACATTTCTAAATGTGTTGCTGCTTCTAATTTATTAAAAATCTGATTTATACGAAAAAGAAATTTATTAAAAAATTATGTATGATACTTTTAATGCAAATTTTTACCTCTTCAATAGCAGCTGCATTTGTAACATTTTTATATTTCCTGTACTCCTCGTTTATCCTGTTCCTTGTAACTAAGTGACATTATATCAACATATTGCTATTTCATAAAGTATTTAATAAGTATGTTCAATTTACCTTCTAATGCATGTTCATCCCCTACAAAAACACTCATTCGAGTTCGATGCAACTTTCTGAATGTTTGTAGTACCTAAAAAATACAAAGAACTCATTAAAATATTATATATACATTACTTAATACAAAAGGTCATTAATAATAATATATATACATTATTTAATAAAAAGGTCGTTAATTAAGTCAATCCATATTAATTAATAATAATATGGTTTATAATAATACAATATGGATTATATCCATATTAATAAAAAAATAAATGATTACAAGGAACAAACAATATCAACATTTTTTTTTCCTTTTTATAGAATTATATATACTCATGACCGAAATTAAGGGGTTAAAAAATTTTGTTCGAAAAATTCTTAATTTTTGAACTACAGTACCCTTGAAAATGAACATAATATAACAATCAATTTGGGCTCATTTTAAAACTTGAAGTTTGCAATTGCGTTTGAACTTGAAGTTTAAAACTTGAAGTAAGCAATCGATTCTTGAAAATTTCCTTACTTCAAAAAATAAAGTGAAAAACTGGGGATAGTGTTTTTCTTAAAATTTTGATAAGTTCAAACGACTTTATGGACTTTGATAATTCTTTTTTTGCAATTTATTTTGTAATGAAATTGTAGAAAGAAGTTTCATCTTTACAACGATTACCTAAAACTCGATGTTCTTGCAATTATTGTAGTTAAATAATAATGAACAAGTTATCACCAAAAACAAAAATTGCAATATTTGAAAAATTAGAAAAATACATACGAATATATCATAGATTACTGGACATGTATTATTTCTAACTATTGTCACATTATATACTGAAAAACGATATGTTCTTAGATTAACATACAACATCAAACGAAAAGAATCCTTCCTTATCGGCGATCAGTAATAATAGTAATTTGTAAGAAGTCGTTTGAAAAATTTTGTTTTGTTGTATGATTTAAAAATAATCCAGGAAGGCAATGAACGTACTAAGAGACTCTCTAGACCCATTAGAATAAACAAATCAAGCCTACAGACGATGCGTTAGAGTCAATTTATAAATTTGCGATACTTTATTCAGAACCCGACGAAGTTTTGAAAACAAATAAGAAAAAAATTACCAACCAATAACAATACATAAATTTTATATCAAGATAATGCACTAATCCATAACTCATTTTACTCAAGTAGTTCCTGAGGAATAATCCAATGTGTCAACATCCTTCGTGTTAAAAGAAATTAAGAAATCATAGAAAAGAAGACAAATAGAAAGAATTAAAAAAATTTTAAGAACAAAATGTGTGATGAAAATGAATATATTAATAAACCAAGCGGAAAAAAGGAGATCTAGCAACAAATTTGGATGAAAAAGAAACCGTTGTTTTATTCAATAAAACAGATAGAGAATTGTTACCGATTGCCTTAGACCTCAAGCAGTAAGACCTCAAGCATAAAATAATTGTACATCAAATGCTCATAGTCTATAAACACGTATTACGCTCATTCAAAATATCCGAAGAATAACTTTCCCTTTCTCCCCGAAACGTTTGAGAAAAGGTACAAGGTATTGTATTTCATGTGACCGTAGAAAAGCAACGAAAAATTGGCAGAATACTGCTAGTCATTGGAGCGTCCGTTTCGGCTTCTTTTTTAACCCGCTGTTTCAATTCAAGTTTTAGATTTTTCGGTAAGATATGAAAAATTTTCGTATGATGCGTTATCTTAATAAAACTTCATTAAGTAAGTACCTGTAATTTATTTATTATTACCCACGTCTAATCTAAAATTTAATTTGTTATTGGCAATTTGAAAAAGATAGTAAGGGTAGCACGTATTTAAATTAAAATTTTTAATTTCACAAAAATTTGTGAAATATTTTAATAATGTTTTGAAAATTAGTAAATAAATATCCAAAGCAAAAATTGAAAATTTTGAATTCATTGTGTCCCCCTACCAATTTTGTCCCAATTAGCTATTGGTGTCTTTTGGAAATACAACCGTTTAATTTACGATTAATCATTGCGTAATCGTTACGTATATCGTGTCCATATTAAATTACTAAGCTTTTATATAACCATAGTAAATCAAACATAAGAGAACAAATAATACAATTAATACAAATTTGATATAATAAAACAAATAATAACAAAATTCATTATAAAATTATGTACAACTATGTCCATAAATAAAAAATTGTAAACTTTTTAGTAATTAGAATATAAAAAACATATGGAAAATAGAAAAGAAACATATTTTATAGGAATGTATCTTTAAAATTGTATTTCTATCACAACTATGTACCAAATAAAAATAGAATGATTATGTATATAATATTGATTTAAAATAACTGAACAAATATTATGAAAATATTAGTAAACTTCCTCAAGGACTTCTTTTATTAGTAAATTTTTATAGGTCACTTGCAAAATTTTAATTAGGAAATATAATTTTTAATAAAATAAAAATTCTAAACATATAACTTATGTATTAATCAGAAAATTTATAAATCTTTCCCAAAAGTAAAAAGGTCAATAGTTTTAATAAAACTCTGTATTTAATAGTCTTTGGTATAACATCTATTATTATTTATAACTGCTTTCTCATTTTTATTTTTGTTGTCAAAGTTTTACAAAAAATTTTTAGTATCTACAACTTCATATTCAAAATATGTATTTTTCTATACAAATAATTTTGTCTAAAGAAATAATTAGAGAATATATGGATAGGACTATATCAATAAATTAAAGATCAAATTTAAAAAGTTGGAAAACTACTTATTTTCCATTAATATATATATTATTTATTTTTTATAATTGATGATGAGAAAGCAATTATAAAGAAAATTTAATTTGATTTGTCCAATTTTAAACTGAAAGAAAAAATCCATCTAAAGAATTTCATAACAAAATTATATAAATAAATATATTCCACTACCGCACTCTATCAAGTTCCATACACAACTCATGTGATATTAAATATAAATCTACTTCCAATTAATATCTAATAGTACTATATATTACAATTGTTCTTCTCTCTCTATATAATCTCAGATGAATGATTGAAATTTTTAGAATCATTTTTGTACTATATATATATATGAATTTTATATACCATATATAAAATATAAATATAAAATATGCATATATATAGCTTACATAAAATCTTACGTAAAATGTAACTTATTGGTTAAAATAAACATGTACTTATGATTTATTTGTAATTCATTGAGAAATTTGTAATTCTCATTATAAATGTAATAAAATAAAATCTAATGACAAAACATTCCAGACCTAATTTAATAAATACAATCAAAACATTTAGTATTTTCTTCTATATCTAGATTTCTTAATTTAAATTCTATATAATATATATGAAATGGTTGAAAAATATAATATTAAAAAATGAAATATAGCGAAACAAATTTTCTTAATTTTAGTAAAGATGTGATACAAAAATTTTATTTTTTAAACTAACATAGGATGTAATATTTTAAAAACAAATAAATTTTCAATATATTTTTCAATAGATTTCCAATAAAGACTTTCAATATATCAATTTTTACAATATATGTAATTAATTTTTCATATATAATACAAATACTTTTATAAAATAATATATTACAAAATAGTTATTGTAATTTCATAATCTAAAAAATAAATATGGTGATTAATTAAATTATAATTTAACAAAAATATCTTGTTTATTACTTATATACATATATACATGTATTTAAATTCATATAAATATGAGAACTAACGTTAATTTTTCAAATTATTTAGTATATTCAAACTGTTTACAAAATTACTTACACAAAAAATCAAATCTAATGTTATAAACACAACTAAATAAACAAAAATCTGAATAATTAAATCATAACCTTCTAACTGATACTAACGAAATGTTGAATGATAATGTAAATATTACCTTTCTCCGTAGATTATCTCCCATTTCGTTAATATAAAGTATTTTTGAAAAATACAAAATAACTCTTTTGCTAATTGTCAAAAATATTTGAATAAAGCTAAATTTTTAAATTAAAAAATGAAGTCAAATTTCACTTTAGAAATTTGGTTAAAAGTGAAGTTAAATACTTTCTCATTTGAGGCAGCACTAGTAGATTAACGTTATTATCACATTTACATTAAATATATTATTTTTGTTACTATTAAACTCTACCTACATGAAACTTATGGAAGATTAGTCCACTATTTTACAACAATCTTTATTTTCATAAAATATTTTTCTATCCTTATTTCATACCGTACAAACATCTTGTTTCTTTATTAAAATAAATGTATAATGCAAGATATTATCATTATTAATTTAATGCAATATCATTATATAATAAAATATCAAATTAATAAAAATGAAAATATTTGTAAACTGCAAATAACTAAAATCTAATATTTTTTAATTCTCTATTTATCTGCAAAATTTTATTGAAACTAACAATATCTTCTATATATAGTGGTTTTATGAAAGTAATTAAAGTATCAGAAAATAGTTGTATATTAAAATTTATATACATACGTACGTAATCAAATTTGTGTGTTATAATAAAGTGAAATTCCAAACAGTTATAAATAACAACATTTACATGAAACCATTAAAAAAGTTATTTAATTATAAATATATTTTATTAATGTCATTAATTACAAACCATCTTTTCATTAATGAATTCATAATTTAACTTAACCTACTTTTAAAGTACACTAAAATATATGGAATATGGATATTTCTATACATAAAATACAAGTTTTATATGTTCTCTAGACTTTTTAAAATCATATTAATATAATATGAGTGGAATAAAGATGTTTATGCATACAACATGAATCAGATGTCAGTATATGTATGTAGTACATTTTTTAGAATACGTGAAAAAAAGCAAACGCACGTAACGAAAGAAATTATTTTCTTTTAAAAGTAATGTAATTAACAAGAATATATTTAGTAGTAAATAAAAAAAGCATTGTAGTTAATTTAAAAATAAAAATATTTATGATGAACAAAGAATGTCCAAGTTGTAGACAAATAACAAATACATCACGTTCAAGACTTATTAAAGATAGTTGTGGTCATATCAAATGTCGTATGTGTTTAATATATGAGGAACAAGGTTGCAAAATTTGTATCAATGAACACTGTATACAAAATATTGGAAATTATGGTAGAAAATTCATAATTTAATATATTCAATAGTAATAATTATAGTAATTTTATTAAATAATTTTAGTTTTATTAATTTGTTTATGCTTTGTGTAGATTGTTCTCCTTCAGAAAAGAAAGTATTGAATGATATTTCTACTTCTGGTAAAAGTAATAATTGTAATGAAGTATTACCTTTGGAATTAGTTATTAATAAGGATTCTAAACTCAAAGCAAATAATTTTGAATTAATCTCTGTTGATTATTTAAACAATTATGAGTTATATTGTGAGGACATATTTAATAAAACAAAAGAAATACATAAATCTACTACAACAGATATTAAAAGTAATGATACTTCAAACAAATTATATATATCAAACATAGAATCTAATAATATACTTCTAAATGTATATCCACATTTAAGTAATAATGTAATGGTAAAGTCATCGACTAGTAATAAAATATCAGAAATTTGCAATGTGGTAAGTTTCATAACTTACAAATGATATTTAAATCATTATATTCTGTTATAACTTTTTACAGGATATTAAAACAGAATTTCCAGCAAAAGAAAAAGTAATAAAAAATAAATCTACAAAATGTCCTGACCGCAATCATATTATTGTAATACCAGGAACACCAGAAAAGTATAAATGCAATATATGTACTAAAATTTTTCAAAACAAAAAAGGAAAATGTTATCATGATGCTTGTATAACAGGTGTTAAACCTTATCAATGTTCTTTTTGCGATAGAAGTTTTATTAAACGGTCTCATTTTGAATATCATGAAAGAATTCATAGAGGATATAAACCATTTAAGTGTAATCTTTGCGAGAAAGCATTCCCTCAACGAAATAAGCTTAATAGGCATATGTATTCACATGGTAGTAAGTTTTTATAATATAATTAATTTTGATGTTATTTAAATTTAATTTGTTAAAAAAATATAATACTTAATTAGGTTTAAAAATAAATTAGCATGCTAATTTAATTAACATAATTGTAGGAGAAAAACAATTTATGTGCCCTAAATGTGATAAAAGATATTCCAAACAAGATGATTTAAAAAATCATTTAGGTGTGCATAATGGTACAACTACATATTCTTGTAAAGCATGTGAAAAAACTTTTAGAATGTTAACTAATTTAAAACGTCATCTAAAAACACATACAAGTAAGTAATTATACTGAAGGATAGAATTATTCAATACAATTTAAATAGTATACTGCTGATCTGAAATAATATTACATAGTATATAATATTATATTATATAAAAATTTTTAATTGGCTATTATATTATAAAATCGTAATCAACCTTTATGAATCTTTATAACTTTCAAGTATTTATGTACTGTAATACACATATTTTTAATTAAGTAAAATATTTTGAAATGATTTGTAAATATAAATTTATATATAGTATTGAAATATAATCATATTAATGTAATTTTATTATAATATATCTCACAATGATTTTTACAATATTTTTTATATTTAAAGATGAAAGGCCATATGTATGTGATCAATGCAATAAGAGCTTTAAAGACAAATCTTTGTTAATTCGGCATAAAAAAACACATGGTAAGGATAGACCATTTTCATGTGCACATTGTAGTAGAGTATTCTTGTCTAAAAGTGAATTAAGACGTCATTTAACAGTACATTCAGGTATGTTATACTAAAATAATATATTATGACATAATAATATATTATAGTAGTTTATATAATTCATTTCAGATGAAAAACCATTCTCTTGTAAATATTGTGAAACTGTATTTAGAAGAAAAGATAATTTACATCGACATATTAGACATCATCATCCAGAAAGTCCATCTTTTAGTATTAATAAAGTACAGAATGTAGTTCCTGAAACAGGTACAAAAGTAATGAAAACTAAACAAATAAGTTCAAAGCAAAAGCAAAAGACAAAAAAGACACAGAAAGTTACTTGTAATTTATTACCAAAAACTCCAACTAAAGTATCAGTGGTTTGTATAAGTTCTTGTGACCAAATTAGTTCTAGATTAGATTCAATGGGTAACATTACACCTGTTATAAGAACTACTAATGAAGTGAGTAATGCAGTTTCTGTTATCAATGGACCAATTAATGTTAGAAAGCTAGATGATAAATCTGATACCAAAAGAAAAACATTTACATATACAGAACCAATACCTCTTGCTGAAGCAGTGGTAATAAATAAACGTATTGAGGAAAAATTGTATCCACAAAATGTGTCAAATCATAATTATTTTCTTAGAAATTGTTTAAATTGTACAGATAAATCATATCCTACTCATATAAATCAAATGCCCTGTACAAATTCTAATCCATAATTTTTTATATAGAAAGCAACATTATGTGAAAGTTAAAGTAGTAAATATATACACAAATTTTCTCCATAATATGGAACTTATTTATAATGAAAAGAATGTTATATAGAAAATTGAAAATAGTAGCAAGTAATTTAAGAAAATGTCCATAAATAATATTAAAACAAATGTTATATTAAAATAAATAATGGTTAGAATAAATTATTAACAGCTCATATGAATTATTATATATATAATTATATTGACATATACATTAAAAAATGTATTGTTCAATAATTTGAATTAAATGTTTTTGGAAATTTTAAATGTTGAAAATTAGAGAGAACAAATAGTATTTCACTGCCAGGAAATCTTAAAGATCAAAACAAAAAAAGAAGTCGATATATGTATATTAACAATAAATTTACACAAAAATCAATACTTAGCTAATGTGAAAAGCAATGTTCTAATGGAGTTTATAATATAATTACAAACATTTTTTATCTCAAATATAAAAAAATGATATATTATTTCTTAAAAAGTCCATTAAGATGTCAATATAATATACATGTATATTAATTTTTTTCATTTCTTTCATTCATATAGAATAAGATAAGATTTACATATTAGATATTATTAGATAATTTTCAAAATATTCAATACATACTTTATTATTAAATGTAAAGACATTAAACTTGTGATTATTTTTTTTGCCATTTTATCATTTAATAGAATTTGTGACAGTAAAAAATGTATTTATTATTTATTATTCTTCCATTAAAAGTAAAATGAACTTCTATAAATATGTATTTTGATATGAAATATTACAAAAAATACTATTTTCCTTAATTATATATGGAAATTATATGTAAACACTCATTTTCTTTTTTTAAATATTGCTGGTTATAATTCCTGAAATGTAACATAGGGAAACATAACAATAAATAATATAATTGCACCAATAAAAGGGTAATTATGTAGATAATGTATTGTTATATATGAAGAAAAATAAATTCTTACATTGTTATTTATTCTGAATTTCATAAAATTTTTGTGGATATCTTTTATAATAAATTTAAATTTTATCCAGAAATAAGTAGACAAATTTTAGTTTGTAAAATATTTTAAGTATAAAGTATATAATAATTATATTAAGAAATCGTAACTTTATTGTAAGTGTTGCATAGAAATCTGAGTTTATAAAAGGTATTATTATCATATAATAACTGTTTTAGAAATTGAAGGCAGAAATATTTAGTTTCTAAAATTTTTATGTTGATTAAAATTCGTTAATATAGCTTATTTACTTTTATAGATTTTCTATTTCAAGTGTTTGCATCATATAATAATACATGCATTTAAATATATTCTTTGTATATTTTATATTCATTCAATATAATATATTTAAATATTTGATTTTAGTAAAAAAAAATATTAATGATTTTGGACAGATAAATACCTTTATTTTATTGTTATTATTTTTTTACCTACTTAAATCTGAAAAAGTAAAAATGTTAAAGAATAAATAAATTAATATAATTATATTTTTCATGAGGCAAAATGATTAACAAAATGTATTTAAGTGTATACTTTTTGATTAGTAGATGAGTTATTTTATTGAATATGTAGAAAAATTGCAGTAATAAAATTTATGGAAAATACAATAGTTACAAATTTCTTATTACATATACAAGAAAATGTATAATAGTATCGTACAAAATTTACGAATTAAATTACATCTTTCTTAAGTTATAGATATATCTTTTTCTAGATTACATTATATTAATACAATTAATTTAATGTAAAAATGTTTATATTTCATTTTCTTTATCTATATAATTTATTTTTTAATACGCATGTGAATCATTAATATATTTCACTTTTGAAGGAAACAAATTTTCTTTATTTTAATATTTGAAAACATCTTATCCATAATTGTTATTTAAATTAGCTTAGTTACCCTAATTTTATTTATAGTTGTAACAGGTCATGAAAGTCTGCCTTGTAATATTATAATAACTATTTGTAAATAAAAAAAATATATTTTATCTGTAGAAGCAAATTTATATTTTTCTTAACTAGATGAAAATTTAATAATAATATCTTTACAGTATTAATTTAACCATTTTATTAAAAGCATTATTTTTAATAAAAATATGTAAAACTATAATAAATTTATTGTAAAGTATACTATTTCTTATTATAATTATTATCATATTTTGCGATGAAATTCTAGAAAGAAGCATTAGATATAATTATGTCTATTATACTAAATATTTTTAACCATGTTTACATTTTTTTAGATGTTATTATTGAAACCAAAACATACTGCTATTTACGTTTTCTTATCTAGTGTACGTAATAGTACATTTATGAGTAATTTTGATTTAAAATTTCCAATATATTTAAAATAACGTAATTTTATATTATATATTATTATTTTCAATAATAAAATTTTAAGAAAAAATTATATTTTATTATGCAATTATAATTGCAGTTTAATTACATTTAGTAAAATATAAAAAAACGTTAATATTAACGCTCTTGACATTCATATGTAGTTTAATTTTAGGACGCTTGACATTTCCGGCGCTGTAAGAATGATATTTATTTAATTATATTTTATAAAGAAAGTTATATTTATTACCAGGGATATACATTATCAACATTCATAAATATATCTAATGTAATTATATAACATAAAACAATTAATTTGTCAATATATGATATTTATCATACGTTTAAGAAAATGTATTGAACACAATGATTCTTGAATTATCGTTATCATAAGTAAACCAAAATTATTAAGAAACATATAATTTAATGCGTAAAATTTTTTTAAAAAATATTTAATTTTAATGCTTTAAAAAAATTCGTAAAGAAACAGTAAATTAATAAATAACAAAAGATCTGCGCATGTCTGAAATATTTATATGGTAGTTTGCGCATTTGGGGTTCACACAAGCATTTGGAAGGAGTAGTAATCGATTGACCGACGTGCGTGATCTCCATTTCTCGCACACAAGTTTAGTGAAGTTCTTTGTATATCCTGTAGTGAAGGGTATTTGACCCTTTAAAATTATTTAAAATGGTTAAGATGGAACATGATGTAAGTAAAAGTTTATAAATTAATGTATAATATAGAAAATATTTTGTTATATATAAAACTAATGTTCATGAAAAGCGAGAATGTATCTAATCCGAAATAGTTTTTCACTTTACCATACTTATATATATGCTATAAAATGTATAATGATATTGCAATCACAAGTTTTACAAATTGTGTTACTTTATATTTTACATATACAATTTATTTTACTTCGTATTTAATAAAAATGTTGATTTCTCATTATAAATTACTATAAATTGCATAAATAATTTTAATATAAAAAGTAATATAAATGTTAAGAGCAATAATAAATATTTATTAAACTTCTAAGCATGTATTGTTTTATTATTTTCAAATAGGTGATACGCAAGTACGTATTTCTGTCGTTCTTTTATAGCATCGCGTACCCTGACGCTACGCCATTTGAGATTTTCTGTCTTGATATTTTTAAATATAATTGGTTAGAAGTTTTATCCTAATTTTTAATTATATATACATTTGCATATAGTTATTATTATATATTCATATTTTACAAAAAATAGAATGAATCTTGTAATAGAAAGAATTCAGATACATTTTTGAATGTTAATCTTTCAATAATTAGTACCTGCTAATTCATATATATATAAATATTAATTTTTATATTTTTTATAATTTTTTAGTATTTAATTTGTTAGGTTTAGGAACTTTAATTATATATAATATGTGTATATCAGTTTCAAGGCCATATTTGTTTTATAAAAATATAATAATTATATTTAATACAACATTAATGATTACAAATTTATAGAATATGGTTTAATTGTAAAGCATTACTAATGAGAATGTGAAATATATAAATGACTTCATATTTATATTATTTGGATAGAATTTTTTTTGTAAAGTCCTTAAACATTTTACTTCTGAAAGCAAAATTAGTATAATAATCTATTAATAATTATAATTCAATATAAAATTAAATTTTAATATTTTGCTATTTAAGGTTGGAAAAAATGAACCTGAACATGTTAGGAAATTATTCATTGGTGGTTTAGATTATAGAACCACAGATGACTCGTTAAAGAAACATTTTGAGAAATGGGGAGAAATTGTTGATGTGGTTGTGATGAAGGATCCAAAAACAAAACGATCGAGAGGCTTTGGTTTTATTACTTATTCACGTGCACATATGGTAGATGATGCTCAAAATGCAAGGTTGTATATATTATATTACAAAATAAATTGAGCACATTTACTGTTATACTATAATAATTAATATTACTATTTTTAACAGAAATTATTTTTATTTTCCATTAAATTATATTAATTTAATACGATCTTTCATTTTTACTCTAAGCATTGTGTGTTCTAAGTATTAATAATATATTAATATTGAAAACAAAAATGTGTAAATGGCAGTATATATATTATGCTTATTATACGATATAAATTAATAGTTTTATACTCTATTATTCGGAATTGTAGACCACATAAAGTAGATGGACGTGTAGTTGAACCTAAAAGAGCTGTCCCTAGGCAAGAAATTGGTAGGCCTGAAGCTGGTGCAACTGTGAAAAAATTATTTGTGGGTGGTTTAAAAGATGATCATGAAGAAGAAGATCTTAGACAGTATTTCCAAAGTTATGGTAGCATAAATTCAATCAGCATTGTGACAGATAAGGAATCTGGCAAAAAACGTGGTTTTGGTTTTGTTGAATTTGATGATTATGATCCCGTAGATAAAATTTGTTTACAACGTAATCACCAAATACGTGGCAAACATGTAGATGTTAAAAAGGTAAAATCATTATATTTTTTTTTTAGACCCAGTAGACATTCTAAATTTTCCAGAATTTATTATATTTCTATGTTACAGGCTTTAAGTAAAGCAGAAATGGCTTCTGCATCAGGTGGTGGCGGAGGTAGTGGAGGTGGTGGTAGCAGAGGAGGACAAAATGTAGGAAGGGGACCTCGAGGTGGTAACCAGGGTGGCGGTAATTGGGGCGGTCGTGGAAGTGGCGGCGGCGGAGACTGGAATAATGGTGGTAATCAGGGTGGTTATGGTGGAGGAGGTAATCAAGGAGGTTGGGGCGGTAACGGTCCTTGGGAGAATCAGAATCAAGGTAAAGGTTCGCAGAAAGATATACTTTTCCCATTTTACTAAGTATTACATCAATATTTTATTTAATAATATATTATAGTACATTAGTTTTGTGCAAATTCTAATTATTGTATCTTTTAAGGAGGTGGCTGGGGAGGTCAAGGGGGTCAAGGTGGATATAATAGTGGTGGAAATTGGAGCAACGATAACTTCGGAGGAGGTTATCAACAGGGCTATGGCGGTGGTCCAGTACGGAATAATTTCAACTCTGGAGGAAGACCAGCACCCTATGGTATTAATATGGGTCCTAGTGGCCGACAGTCTGGAGACTCGAGATGGCTACCACCCTTCGGTGGACAAGGTTGCTTCTGTCCTTCTCAAAAGCCAACGCGTCTGTTACGTACCTTGAGCAACTATTCGTAGATTTGTTTTAATTACGTAATTAAAACATATTTTTATTAAAATTATAGTATATGCAATATACTATATCGATTATTATTTCTAGTTGCACAAGGAGCGTTCAGCTTATAATTAGTACAATTTTATAATACCATATTACTAATTAAGTATTCACATGAAATGTGATATATTGGTTTTGGTTAAACTTTGTAGGTAGAGAATTAAGAAGTATTTGGCAAATGTTCGGTTGTTAGTGCAGACATCGAGTATTTTATGAAATGTTTAACAAAAATGTTTTGTATGTCAATATAATTTTATTACATTTTTAAGTGAGAAAGTAATCTGACAGTAATAGCTGTATATTTGTCTTCATAAGATTCACTTAAAAACTGGTCAATTCTTGATAGAAAAATATTTAACTTTTTTTTTTTGTATAAAAGACGGAATCTTAGATTCAAATATAAAAGATAAAGATAGTAACAATGGAATTTCATGTTACTTTTCATACTATATATATTTTTATTTTTATAAAATTATAAAAGTTGCTGCAATACAGATAGATTGATGTATACACCTTTTATCTTATTTTGTTATTGAATTTGCAAATAATTATATACTCCATATGTACTTGGTGAAGATTTTGGTAACTTATTTTTGGTAATTTATCAAATCACATATTTACGTATTAATATAGGCATATTTAATTTTATTTTTCATTGCTTTTACGACAAGTTAAATTTCATGAGAAAGAGTGAACAGGTATATCCACTATTACTGGATAATTACCTTAATTGAAAGAGTAATATAACCATAGATATTTTTATGTATTATCTTACATAGAATATATCTTTGATTAAGCATTTCACAAATCATTGAGAGTTTGCATTAATAGTTAAATGTTTATTAAATATTTGTTGGTTTTGTACCTGCTTACAAAGTATTACTTAAATTGATATGCAACATTCTTGTGATTTTCTTATAAAGTTCACATATTATTGCGTTTAATAGAAATTGAATAACTAATTACATAGCATGGTAAGATTAATTCTAATTACGTCGTTAATGTTAATAATAACAATCTGCAAATGAATTTAATCATATCTGGAAAACGTCATAGCAAAAGGAATTTAATAATCGTATTTTCAATATAAGTTATACGAAGACATAAGGCGCGATGTTGCAGTGAGAAGGAGCGCCTTTGTCCATTTCTTTTATTCTATTCAAATTCAGTTTGCTCATAACATGCTAAATTATTATTTTTTAAAGGTATTTTATTGTAGAACTAATTATTTTGACAAATATTGAATATTACATTATCATTTGTACAGTCCTTTTTTTTTTCCTTTAATTTAAATGGATGTAAATATTAGTCTATGAAATGCTTATTATTTTGAATATCATTTAATTACTTGTATGTTTAATAATAATATAGTCTAGTTTTACTAAAAACGCTTCATCTCTTACAATTGTTAGGATAGTACAATTTTTGTCAATATATTGTTATCAAATAAGTAGTATTTTATAGTATTTTGCATAATTTCACACAGTTTTACTAACCTCTTGCAATTTATTTATTTACTTTTTAGGTCCTATGGGTGGTGGAAACTCTGGAGGTGGTGGCGGTGGTTATGGTAACCAAGGAGGCTATGGCGGTAGTTCACTTGGAGGTGGAAACATGGGAGGTGGAGGTGGTGGCGGCGGAAGAAGATACTAAAGTACATTATCCATGGTTACTTCCCTCACGTGGTAAGCAGAATTTTATTATGCTTATTCTTATTTTCTTTAGGATATATCAAAATGGTATCTATTTTTAACTCATATTTAAATTACAATACTATTTCAAAATCAAAAATACTTAAATAAATATAATTTGAAGTAATATCATACATGTCAAGTAAAATTTATTTTTTAGATAAGTAACAAAATACTACGCGAAATTTAATTTACTTTCTTGATAGGTATATTAGATAATTTTAAAGACTTAATTGAGATGTAAGATCAGTTATTTTTTATTTTATATATAATTACATGGATATATTAGTAATAATCAGGAACTGTTGTTTTGATTAAGTGGGGTTATTAGTATAGTTAAATAAAAAAGAAACAGGTATTAAAGAATACTTGTATCAGTAGATTTCTGATGCAACTATTTTTATATTACTATAAAATATGTATATATTTACTTATAAATTTTTAAAATTTTTATCTATTTGATGCAATGATAAAAAAATATTCATTAACATCTTTGATATTTCAATGTACAAATTTCTAAATACGAGTATTTGTACTTACTGCAATATTATCAAATAAATAGAAAATCCTTCCATTTTATAAAAACTAAAAAAGAAAAGCTATCTAAATTACTAAAGTACCCATTATTGAGTTATTTCATAGTGAAAAAATATTAAAATTAAATTGTACCAAGTAATTGGCAATAGTGATACAAGAAAATTATTAACAAAATTTATATATTATTATGTATTATTATATCTTTTGACATTTGATATATGTATTATTATATTTTTTATTTGATATTTGATGGCTTATTTTTTATAAATATTAATATATTTATCTCCTTTCTTTTTGGCTTGTCTGATTCTACTTCCAAAAATAAGCTATTACTACTATAAACATATTTATATAAATTTATATAGTAGCTTATTTGCATATAATAAAATTATTCGTATAATAATTTTTATAATAAAATATTGGAAAAATTGGATATGAATCTCCTGAATATAAAATATATAAATTGTAATTGGTTTTATTTGTAATTGGAATATGTTACGTGTGAAAAATTACGAAGTATAAAAATCATATTAGGAAACTATATATATATATTAATGAAACAATTTTTTAAAATAAACTTTGAAATATATAGTATCAGATAAATGTTTTTGGGCAAACTTTTTTTATTATACAACAAATATTAGATTAACATTAGAGAATGCATGCATTACGTGAAGTAAAAATATACTAACTAATATATGAAATCTTATTTTTATATATATATTTCAATTAATATGATCCCTTTTTCGAAATTTAAACATAGTTAATGAAAGTATTCATTTAATGCTTTAAAAAATAACTTGAGAAACACATTATTTGTTTGGAGTTAATTTATAAGGATTCTTTTGAAATATATTTTTGTTTGATTTAATTTATTGTTTTGTGAGTATAGTGCAGTATAAAATTTATTTATGTACTATAAAATTGTCATTATTAGTTGTTTTTTTATTTAAACTGTATTTTTAATAAATGCATATTTTTATAGTAGAAATAATTAATGGTAATATAATTATGTAAATGTATTTTGTTATTTTTAGTTAAAAAATTAAAGTTCTCTATATAACATTTTTAAAGAGTAATTAAGATTTAGAGTCATCGTTATTTTAATCTTCGACTTACTGAGAAATATATCAGAAGATTTCATTTTGCTACTTTATATTATTTATATATTTGTACAAGATATAATGAATAAATAATATTATTTGAATTCGTGTTTTATGTGTAAAATCTTAATTGTAAGTAATTTGTTGTTTACAGATAATAATTTTAATAATCAATATTAATTTATTTACATTTATATAAAATGTTATATAAAATTAGATAATTTAAAATTTGTATATAATATAAATTATAAATTTATATATAATTTTATGTAGTTAACAAAATTTTGTGTTACATAATATTTTCTGAATCTAAAAAGAAAACCAAATTATCATTAATTAAATAAATCTACTTTATTTTTTGTTTTTTAACTACACCAAAATGATGTTTTTATTTATTAAAGTGGTTATAATAATAATAATGTTTATAAATGTTTTTTTTATATGAAGTGCTATTAATTATTAGTTGTGATTATGTTTATTGCTGATAGTGTCTTAAAGTTTCTTAAAGAATATTACTTTATCTATATATTATGAAATCGTGTAACAATATTATGTAGTAAATATTGAAAATTTTAAAGCCTTATATGCACATAATGCATGAGCTTTTGATCTTTGTATGTAGTAGTATGATTAAATATATTATAATTTCAGTAAAGTGTAGATGAATGTAGCATTTACAGCATAAATCTAAGGATGGAGTACAAAATGTCTGAATACTTTTGCTTTAATGAATAAAAGAGTTTACAAAAATATTTTACTTACATAATATTGAATAATAAATAATTAATAGCAAATATGTAAAAACAGAAATGTTTATAAAAAAGGCATTAAGAAATTTAATGAAATTTATATTGTTTGTCCGAATTCATGTCCGTGATACTATGTAATAACAGATATAAAACATGAAAAATTTATTAAACATTTTTCTTTATTTTTTACGCTTATTAATATGATAACAAATTTAATTTAAATATTGCCAACTATTTGGTACTAAGTATTCAGATATTTAACTAAAATGTTTTATATATTTTATATACAACTTAGTTGAGTGTAGAATTTCATTTTACCTTCAAAACAAAATTAAAATGTAAGATAGTTTGCTACAGAATTATTAATTTATTATTATTTATTGATTATTATGTTGTTATCATCTTCAGTATACAAAATTTGATGTTTAATAGTCAAGTAAATTATTATTTACTTTTCTAAGGCCACATTTATTCTTAATTGTACAATACTTTAATTATTTAATATGAAAAAGTATGTTACATAATATTGTATGTAGTTATATGTAACAACAAATGTTGTACGAAAATATTCTTCAAATGATAGTAAATGATAGTAAATAATTATATGGCATTTGATTTTTAGCTCAAAATTTATAGATTCTTACAGTTTGAGTATTTTCAATCATCTTAACTAATAGATTTATGACTTTTGAACCTCAGGTGAACCTACTACTTGTCTTCTAGTCGCCAGTACTTCTGTACTGTTTAGTATTGGAGCAGGCAGGGCTATAAGGCTAGAGACAAGACCAGGCAGGACAATCAGGATACAGGACAGAGAAGCGTCATCTTAATAGATCACAGTGAGGGAGGCTTTTACTTGTATTTCTTTTGGTATCTAGCACCTATTGCATATATCTTACATATTCAACTATTTATGTGAAAATATTGCATCACAATTTTCTAGACTGTGCCTGAACTCATTGTGTGGCACATATTATATCCAAAAAAAAAAAGAAACAATTATTAACGTGTAATTATCGTCATTGTTAGAGAAAAAGATATTAATTGATTTGATTATTCAGTTACTATGGCTAGGGATACATCCGTGCCATCCAAATACTAAACTTTGTAACACTTTGTTATATTTACTACTGTAACATCTTCAAAAATGACTACAGATTTAGGATTATACATTAGACGTTGGAGAGCACGATTGTTTCTCTAATTTAATGAAATATATCGATATAGCAGTGCATGTAAGAATCTAGGTTTTGATATAATGATGACTTCTTTCACAATAAGCAAGGTGGTTCTTATATAGAGTAAACATCTCAGGATAAAAGGGAAAATGCATGGAAAAAATGTTAATATGAAATGAAATTAACGAATTTGCAAAAGAACCAGGTATATCACGAATATCAGTTAGCATTTTCGTAGGTTACCTAGATTAATTAATTATTTAAGTTGTAATGTTTTAAGAGTTAGTTAATAAAAATGACCAGAACCTTCCATGTTACTTTTTAATTTATGAAATAAAATGTCCATAGTATAGGATAAGTCAAAAGTACAAGAACATGCATCAGTTAAAGGAATAGGGAAGTATAGCTAGATAAGGGTACATTTGATTACTATACGCAAATATTAATGAAAAATTTCACGTATTAAATATATAGAGCATTCTTGTATTTTCTGTCAACTCTGTAGTCAATGAAAGCACAACTAAGGGCTTTATATTTATATGTATCCACAGTATTAAACAATTTGTACATATAAATAATATGTGACCAATTTTGTGTAATTTTTATATGTAACATACATGGCTTTATAAATGAAGGGATACGTTCAATTTTATATTTTATACATAGGCTTCTATTGTAAATTATGTATGCAAAAAATACTAGTAATTCTACACGTGAAAAAATAAAATTTCTTATAAATATTCTCGCATAGTAATAATAAATTAAAGTTATGAAAATACTTTACGAAATCGTAATGAAGATTTGGATTAACATTGTTTTATAATTATCTTCCGTGACATGTATGTTCATTAATAATATGTGTTTCTATATCGTATTCCAAATATTGCAATAAATAGAAGTGTGTATGTCCTTAATAGATAATACAGTTTAGTTTGCAATTTAGTTCTATTTCGTGACCTTCTTAATTATATCTGTTTTTGAAAGATTCAACATCTAATCAGTGTTGTGCAAAATAACAAATTTAAGGTTTGAATACTATTTTTATAAATTAATGTACCTATGATTATTTTTTACATTTTTAATTATTACAATATTATGATAAATGAAAATAACATTGAACTCTATAAAATGATATATGTGTAATATATTTCGCACTATTAAGTAACATATCTTTGTAATATAAATTTTATAATTGCTTTTATAACATTTTTGTTTTATTATTCATTTAAATTAAAATGTATATTAAAATATCAATGCTTTGCGGCATAGTATCTTGTAAAATAAATTCGAGATTATACTGAATGAAATTAAACCACTTCAAAATTGGGTTTGATTTTATACATTATAATTATTCTAAAATAGTGGTTTTAAATTATTATAAAAGCTTATAGCAGAGTGTTTATTCAAAAAAGTTGTTAGTATCTTTCAGAAAGTGCAATGTAAAAGGTTTTACGATATATTATAAATTTTTGTTAAATGCAATTATTGGCCATTTTTTATATAGTATGAGATATATATAATAATATATTAAATATTTATTTACACGAAATTTGTTTTTCTTCATATTGATATTAATATATTGAATAGTTAGAGAAAATAGTTGAAAGGAATTAAAAAATGAATAAATAATCATTATCTATTGTTTGAATCTATAGAGATCCATTGCATATCTAACATCAAAAAGTATCAAAAAGAATTATATCTCAGAAGAAAGTTCTGACTCTGTTCATATCATATACTATAAATTAGTATATTATTTTATATCTCATACTCAATATTTATTCAGATATTGTACAACACTGATTATAAATAAATTTTTACACATTTTCAAGATAAATGAATTTTAGTTTTGTTATATAAATAGTTTTGAGTTAATATATAAGTTCATTTAGTCTGATCCGTTGTTATTTTCTTTCAAATATTATATATATCGTCATCGTTAGGTTTAGTAACACATTTGCCTTTTTTATTTATTATTATATAGAAAATTAACACGATTATTAGGTAGTAATGGAATAAACAGTTACGTAGGTATGTAATGCTCTTTGAGCAGAACATATTTGCAATATTTAAAAATATTCTTAGTTAGATTTATCACCTAGTAAGTATCTAGTATCGAAAGTTAGAAGAGTGAAAACGAAAGAAGAAACTAAAAACGGGCAGGTAGCAGAACAAAGGAATTCTGAACTACGCAGCAAGGCTAGGCTTTGCTAGGCTTCTTGCTAGCTTCTGTTGTACAACCACAGGTAGGAATATTAGATTCATTTGTTTAGATATAGGGGTTTTAAATGACAGATTGTGCATGATATTAATGTTTTTTAATATTTCTATTAGATTATACTGTTAACTTGATGATTATTTCTTTTTATAAAAGAAGTGAAATACATAATAAATAAAAATTATTATTAGCATACTATTATTAAGTTTTGCTTCATCTTATAAATCATTGTATTGTTTTATATACATATATATTTGATGTATGTATATATAACATATACATGTAAGATGGAACATATATATATTAGTAAAATTATAAATTTTTTTTTCTAATATGATAAATATGTATGATGGGGGATGGTAAAAATTAATCTATGTATGCAAAGGAATATTATAAATATTATTATAGTTCACAATTATGTATAACTAATTGCAATAATACAATAATTCTCTTTTCTTCTTTTTTTCTGAAAATTAGTTTAAAAACATGTATCTTATATTAGAACAATTATTTTATTCATTTAATTTATTATCTATTTATTTATTCATTTATTTATTTATTTATTTATTAAATGGCTAAACACATCTAAAAGGCAAATGAATATCTGTATTGGAAATTATTTCTAAAAACTGTTTACTACTCGAAATAGTGTATTTAGATTTGCTAATTACATGAATAAACTAAATTACATGAATAATCTTATTACAAAAATGTAATAAAAATGTGTCTTCGCGATTGAATTTTTAAGATTATATATTATTTGGTATAAAAGAAACTAATCGTTAAAGTAAATAAATTGGCCTAATTTTTTGAAAAATGTTACTGATCATAAATTTCAATCAATTTTGTGTGATAAATGCGCTTTTTTATAGATAAAGAAAGCTAAGGCGTGTATTATCAATCATATAACAAAAATTAAGTGATTCATTACAAAATGATGAGTAATATCCAATTGATTTAAAATTTTTGACATGTTTCTAATATTTTTGAATATGCTATTTCGAGGGAAATTTACTTAAATATATGCCTATAATCACTTAAAATACTTCATACAACTTTATCATTTTAAACAATTTTAATATAGAAATATATAAGGATGTTTAAAAAGATATATATTTGCGAATAAAAACTTTTTAAGCCAAGCAGATGTTGATTTGATTTAGATGTATATAGCTCTTTAAATTATTTATTATATTAATATATAAAAATGAATTTTTATTTCCTAATTTAATCTTCCTCTATATTCGAAAATCTTATTTATTGTTTTTACGATAATGAAAAATTATAATCAGTATAAAATATCAGAAATAAAAGAATTGCATTAAAATTCTATTACAGCAATATATATTAAAAATGTGTTAATATTTAAAAATAAGATTTTGGCTTAAATATGAATTATATAAGCAGGAGATAGTAATTATTTTTGTTTTACTTCTTGTATATTAACTGCTATCTTTCGTTTTCATTAATTTCTGGTTTACCATTTGGGCTGGTACTCTCAGAGCGCTCCGCGTCACAGCTACCATTGTCACACATCATAGGAGGTAAGTTAAAGTCGACTGCTTTTTTTAACTTTAAACATATAACGATCTTGTGATATTTAATATTTTTAGAATTATCATAATTTTATAATATAAGTTATATTAAGAATTTAAATGATACAAAAAGATACATATACATTTTTTATATATAAATTAATAATCGACATATTCTGAATATATAGGTGATTTAAAATAACATAATTGTTATTCTATTATGCACTATGTATATGCAGTATGTGCGCATGCCATATTCACTGCGTGCGTGCGTGTACAGCATGTTCTAATTTTTTATACATGTATATTATAAAAATATACACAGGAAAATATATAAAGATTGAAATTCACTATTAACAACCATGGTGATAGTATGAAATATAAGGAAGCATTTTCTTATTACAATTAATGCAGCATTGTAAGTGGTACATCTTATCTATTCAATCTTATGAAGCATACGGAGCATATTAAATACGTAAACAAAATATGAAGAATATATCATCATCAAATTTTGAATGTAAGAGATAGTTTTTATAACACTTGAAAAAGAATTGTGGACCAGTAACAAGTATTTTCTGTAAATATAATATTGTGTAAATATGTAAATTTTTATCATAGTTTTAAAAGTAGAAGTAAATTCATTATGTACTGTCTTTTTAGCTTAGCATGTCATGTACTTTATATAATTACTTAAATAATCTTAACTAATAAACATCAAACTTTTAGGGTGGAGTAAGATCATTATTGGTGATATATTTTGGATATTTAATTAATAAAACAAAGAAATGAATGGGAAATAATTAGGTTTTGAGAAAACAAATAATTTTATTGAGTTTAGTTAGGGCCATATGTGTTCATTAATACAATAAAAGTATGTTAAATAACGGTAACTATTTAACAATCATGTATTATGAAAGACTAATTATTTATATTAATTTCCAGCAATGTGATGTTAAATTTGGTATCTTTAAGCAAATGTAATAAACTTTTTTTCAGTATATGGCTGTTTTTTTCATGTATATCCTTCAAATACTAATAATTAATATTTTCGTAGCTGATTAAAATAAAAAAGTTATCAATTTAATTGCCGTCAATTTATGTAATATTTGGTATTATATAAATAAATTATACTAAATTTTCAAATGAAGTATGTTTTAACATGCTATTCTTAATTTCTCATTTTCTTAAATTATTAATATAAATACGGTGAAACAGGAATGTTCTAGAGATATAAAAGGATGTAATTTTACATCAGCAATAATTAGTCACGACTTACAGACAGATATGATGTTATTTTCCTGGTTATGAATGTGATAAGTATTATATTATTGTTAGTGAACAGTAATATCGATATTATCGTGCCGATGGAGTAATTTAAATCTAATTGCTTTCTAAGAGATAAATTATTAAAACAATGATTGAGTTTCAGAAAAATGTTTGACAATAAAAATTATTTTAAACATTATATATCAAAGCGGAAAACTGAAATTTATTTTATTTTTTCTTGGTATTAAAATATTTTTTTAATTTCTTGTGTTCTTTACATAGAATGTAAGATTAAAGTATATCAAGTTATTTTATTTTAAAGGGGATACATTATAGTTGATAAAGTACCTCCAGGATTATTTTTCTTAATCTCAATTGTTAGGACTTTTTGATTGAATCAATGTATTCAAACTAAATTCAAATGATATTTGTATTAAGAACAAAACAAAACATGTTTTTCTCTTTATAATAGCATTTTTCTTTTCTTATTGTATACTATTTTTAAACGATTAAAGATCAAGATAAAGCTAAATTTAAAATGAACTTCGAGAAGAACCTGTATAGCTTTCGCTTTTCGAAAACGTTGGCCTCCTAAATAGGAAGGTGTACTTTAAAGTTGATAATTACAGTGTTGAATAATACTTAATAAAATATTATAACATTGGTCTAAATTTTTAAGTTTCAGTCAATTTAGAATTAGACTACGTTTACTACAACGTTTATTGTCACGGTATCAAGATAGAAAATTGCCATATGATTCAGTCTATGGCGTCTTATTTTCTATACTGTGAATTTCATTTCTAACATCAAAGCTTCAACTCTTCCTTTTAGAATATTTAATTTTTAAATTATTGTAGACTCATGTTTTAAATAAAATAAATAAACTTGCGTTTATTTTATTTTATTTCTAATTTGAGGTTTGTCACTGTCCCTTTTATTATTTTCATTCTTTGTTCTCCTAGAATTTTGCATTATTTGGAACATACATATGTTTTATTAACTAGTTACATGCTGAATTTCAAGATTTTGTAATTTGCAAGGAATTATTTAAAATTTTTCTTTATATAATTTTTTCTATTGTGTTATAATTATACTAAAGACCAAATTCATTAATTGAAGAATAAACTCGCTATGTTGAAGGGCTATTTTGTTTTAGAAGTAAGAACAGAGTATATTTCTGTGAAAAGAAAATGAAAATCACTGTGCAAAGATAGTTCGTTTATCACTTTATAAACTGTAAAAAACGTCATCCTTGAGTTTGCATATATTTTTCGAACATATTACATATGCAAGCTTCGTTTGTAGGCTTAAAACATCATCGCATTAGGTATTAATTACACACTTTCAATTTCATTAAGTGAGTATAGGTAGATGCACAGTCTAAGCAGAGGTAGCCGTTGATGACTCACAGTAGACGTCGACCTGTGTCAAAATAAGGATATATCGATAAATTGCCCACACAAATACGAAGTTATCGTGTGTCACGCCTTAACATTATTTTTGAGTTCACTGGTAAGAGAACCTGTGTAATACATAGAACAGGCTTATGCTAGTACAAAAGTGGATGTTATTCTCAATGATATTTACATTGATGTAAAATAATTAAAAAAATTTCTTGTTTTATTTTTTATTTATCTTTTACTTTTATTACAAGTTGTAGCACGAGTGCAGAGTTGGAAAGAAGGTCCTTAGAGGGAATATTAATCTGATTGATCATAATATAATAAAACTATTTTCTTTCACACTATCACAAAAATGGAATATACGAACTTTGCTATTGGTCAAAAGTGTTACATCTACTACTGGAGAATATATGAAAAATATTCGACTTTTTGGATTGCTGAAGATGATGTAATATTTTAATAAAGAGTAAATATTGTCTACATTAGTACTGTTTATTGTTACAAATTACAATTACATTTTGAATTATAATTTAATAATATGTAGCAGTATATGCAGCCAGTATATAAAAAGTTAATATTTCAAAGTGCATTTCAACGCATTTAGGGACTACTTGAATCAATATATTGCTTAAATATAAGTAAATATATTTATATTTGTTATATTGTTTATATTATACACGTTTTATTATCATATATTTACTTATATTTCAATTGCTTAATAAGGTCATATAATTGTTATTTAAAAGACTATAACAGTTGTAGAATTTTTTATTTTTCAGAATCCTTTTTTTTTAAACATATATCGTTATATGTTTATCATTAACCTTTTTACACTGGATTCCAATTATTTATAACGTAATATATCTATTTTAATACTGAATTTTTATAAAATAATACATTTATTCTTACAACTGCTATGGTTTTATATATAGTATAAATTATTTAATGTAAATAGCCTTTGTACTAGAATTCATAATAAAACAAATATAAATATAATACAACAACTTCTGTTTGAAACTTAATACATAATGCGAATTTATTTTTGCTAACATTGTTACTAAGCTTGTAGCAAAATTATTGCAAAATCAGTTTTCAAAATTTTAAACAGAAAACAATACATTTGATGCACTGTCTAATATTTCACTTTCACCGTTGTTACATTGTGGTTGTTTCAAGAAAGTTCCAGTAATAGGACTCATCGAAGTACAGGAATGATTGGCAGCAGATCCAAATGTCTTTTTATAAAAGCAGAATTCACAAAATCCGTTTCTGCCATAAATTGGTAAATTTATCATTCCGCTGGAAATTGCAAAATTCCTGTAACATGTAACATATTAAAAATAATTACTTATTTACATTTATAGTATTATGATATGATTATTATTATTATAGATTATGTAACAATAACTGTTATACAGTCATTTCATTATATGTAATACAAACATCATTTTTTGTAAAAAAAAATCGTTATATATATGTAATATTTTTAAACGTTGATTCTATTAAAATCATGTATATATTTTAAATGGTAGAATTTACTGTATATATATGCATATATATATAGTCGTGTTCAATTAACTGACGTATACTTGCATTTGTTATATACCATTTATTTGAGGAAATAAGTGTTCTGGAAATTGTAGATCATTTTTCATAGATATATTTATTCTTTTGATACGTCAGACGAATGTGACAAATGTCAAATATGAATGAAATAGAGAATGTTTTGTATATACTAATACTATTTCTGGTAAAATGTCTTCGGCCAAATGCAATAATGCTTAATCTTTTCATTATTTTCTCGATAATAAACAAAAGTTTAAATTATTTTTTTGTTTTTTTTTACATATTAGACTTATGCTTATGTTGTTGTATTTTATACTTATGTTATTGTATTTTACACCTAAAAAATTACAGAAATTTTATACGTAACTTATATAATTAAAAAATATTGAAATACGTTTATATTTATTACCATTTTTATTGTAAGACATTTATTTAAAATAATTTCACAATTATAAAATAAAAAATGTGCAGTATCATGTGCAGAAATTTTTACATGTTATCTTCGTCACTTCCTGAACTTGTTCACTCGACTTGTTTGTTTCGTATTAACGATGATTCAACTACAAATGAATCATCGAAAATGTGTATATAACTGATTTCTAGTGTAAATAAATAAAACTATTGTTAAAGTTTAAATTTATATGTATACACTTATTATATTTTGTATTTAGAAATTACAAGATGTAATTTCAGAAATTGTTAACAATACATTGTTTATCTCACTCGCTCTTCCTGCTTCTCTTAAAATATTCGATCATAAATAAATTTTTATAATAATAATAAAAATGAATTATTTTAATAAGAATAATAATATAATAAATGGCATATTTTATATATGTTACAAAATGTATTATACCGTATTTCGAATAGTTTAGAGTTAAGTAGTTTGTGTAATTACATATTAAGTTGCACTCATCACTCTTAGGCATCGATATAATAGTACCCACTTTAATGTCTGTTACTATCTGTTACTATCATTTATCAATTTCTTAGAAATGGAGAGGTGACTGTCTAATGTTGGAATGGCCAATTTCAATGTGTATAGTTGTTACCTTATATTTTCTAATAAGGTAATAAATAGTGAATATTCTGTGGTTCCTGAAAGAGTACAATTGAAGAAAGTAATATAGTCAAATCATAAATTGAAACCTTAAATTAACTAGATGATCCTGAAAAAGTTCCTTATTGTAGTTGATACATATTACCTATTTCTGTTTGTAACTATCTGAATTAATGTATATTTTACATATTTTATTGGTGCTATCATTTTATGCGACTATCTACAATCTCACCATACCACTAAAAAAACAACTGTATATTACTTAACCTTTGAAAAATTGAATAACAAAGAAAATCTAATAAATGATTCTTTAACTAGTGATATAGAGACAGTGCCACCGATCACCCTCCGTTGGTATATCTATATGATCTACCGATTAGTCCCTATTGTGACAATAGATGTCGATATTGTTCCTGTAACTACCCTAATTGAGACGTCTGTTACGTGCATATATATGGGAAATGAAAACAAGAGTGTGAAAATGAGTTGTAACAGCATAGATTAGTGGCATAATACCACTGGCATTGCCTTTGAGTTAACTAGCGAGCAAACCACTCTCGTATAACTGTGTATCTTACAATTAGTGCTTGATCACAATAGGGTGGTATGTGAATATCGTGCGCTACACGCGGAATAATCCTACATAAGGCTATTCATTGCGAGCATTTATATCACTGGAAATCATCTCGGTTTCTTTTGAAGTACGGTCGGCTCGTTTCCCCATCATCTTTCCCCTATAATTCCCTGCTCTCTGCTATTGAAAATTGTAGTATTATTCGGTATTACGCCTAATTCTATAACAAGTGCATACATTTGATAAGATCATATTAAACACAGAATGAAGATATTTGCACAGTTATACCAAAGGATTTTCTACACCACTTGTATCGCTCTAATTCGATCGTATGGGCGTTCTCACATAAATTATTATCATTTCAAGGAACATAAACATCATTTAGGCTTTTGAACCTAATGCAAACGTGAAATTATTATGTGACTGTGATCTTCCCTATGAACAATTGGAGATGGAGTACTTGTGGTGGTGTATACGAATTTTTATGAATCCTCTTATACGGTAATGGTTGTTCTTATAGATTATGTATTTTTGTAAACAGACTTATATAATAAAGAAAGTATTAATCTCTTTAGTTTGAAAATTGTGTTTTTTCCAAACTTCAACAAGTAGAGATTTTTTTACTGAATTATGTTATAAGTTTTTTAATACTAAATTTTTAACTTTCTCCAAGTAACTTAATTACAAGGTTATGTATTATTTTCTTCTGATTCTTATAAGTAAAGTATCATGATACTGATGATAGATCATTTCAATTATTTTCATTATTACTAACTGGATCCCAATATTTTTGTCATAAATATCATTTCAAAGAACTTAAAAAATGATAATAGTTAATTTTCCCATGTTTTCGGTAACATAATTTATGTATGTAACAAAAATAAAATGTCATCATGTTGAAAGACCTTAGGTATCTTATCATTTACGATAAAACAATTTTTCATTAAATTCTAGCAACAAAAATAACATGTTTTGGTCATCTTCTTTAACATGTGTAAGTAAACAATTAACCTTAACGTTTTTAATTTCTTTCTTTAATCTCGTCCTGGATGAATAAGGAGACAGTGTAATTGATAAATGTCAGTTTATTACAAGGACGATCAATAATTTGGGAATGGACGATGACTATCTGGACGTGCGTTGTTTATGTAATATTGTTCGAGCTCCTGCGAAAAATTCTGTTTATGAAAACAGTGAAAGAACGAAGAGAAGTATTAGGATAAACAGAGATGGACAGTAAAGCAGAATAGATAAAGAGTGTATGAAAAAATATTCAGTACTATACCGTGCACAGGTAGGATTATTCTTATTTTGAGATTTTTGATGTTGATATAATAAAAAAATAAGTTACGGTGGCATTTTTTTATCTTATGTTAAATAGTTATTGCTGTGTTTATCTACGCCTATTTACGCCAATACGTTATCTAATCCGTGTTTAGCAACTTTTTCCCGGAACTTGTGTTAGTTTTCTATACATTTTTCATAAATAAATATTTTCAGTATATTGGGAATATCGTAAAGGGATTATGAATATGTCAGAAAACTCAGAATGATAAAATGATATTTGTGTAGTAAATATCAATGAATAAATTGTATATTTTTAACAGAAAAATATTTATGAATGATTTGTAATTTTCGGATATAGAAATCTGTTACCATTCAGAAAACAGAGAAATTATAATCTGTTATAAAATTTTATTAGACTACTGGTTAATAACTAATTTAAGTGTTTTATATTTATCAACATGCTACACTGTACACATAAGTGTAAACACTAATATCCTATAAGATAATCACACAATTGTTTATTAATACTTACGATTATTTGATGTATGAATTTAAAAAAAAATTTTTTTAAATTTATGAGTAAATTTATTGAGAACAAGTATTTGTCTTATAAAAAAAAAATTTACTCAACCGTTGTTTCGAGTAAATATACATGTAAAAAATAAAATCTATTAAAATAATATCTAGTATATATCACAAATAAGAAACTAAACAAAATACATTTTATTTACCTATTTTTGTCCAGCAGGTACCTCTTTATAAGTATAATTAATTTCAAATAACCACCATATTATATCTAAATACTTCATAAAATGTAACATAAAATCTAATAAAGCATAATATTTAATATAACTTGTTTACTATGTTATAACAGAAGACAAAACGCAGAACTTAGAAAATGCTTGGTCAACTACTTTCATTCAAAACTTACAACAGACATTATTGGTAACAATAGTAATAATCTTAACAAAATTAAACGCGAAAGCAATTAAAGTTTACGACATTATATGTATGTCTTTAATCAAAATTGTAATTTGAATATTTACTGTATTTTTAATTACGATAATTTTTATGAAGTGAAATTTAACCTCTTAACCGGGGAATTTGCTTGCCGTAAGTGCACTCTGCATGTGCTACGGAGAACTAACGAAGACGTAATCTCCCATACCTGTAGTAGATGCAAAATGTCATAACTTGCACTTTACATTAAACTATAGAGAATTTAAAAATAAATATTTTTCTTCAATGAATTAAATATAAATGGATTTTACTGAACAGTATTATTATTATGAACTGAAATACAAATAACGCGAATTTACATGAAAAAAATACTACTAGTACTCATACTGTGCAATAAGCAGTTCTGTACCACACATAAGATAAATTTAACATTTTGACATATTTTTTGATAACAATTTCCGACAGTTATCTATATGTTACTAGTTGACCACAAATAAACCGTGACAACTATAGCAATATCCGATAAGTGTTGGAAGTCAGAAAGATGTTTAAACTACGGAAATTCATTAGATTAGGAAATATATATTTATAAAAAAATAAATGGCGCAATAAAATTTAAATTGATTTACATAGTCGTTGAAGTTTTGTGATGAGTTAAGCATTTTCCAATGAGAACTTAACTCGTCATTCCCGATTAAAGGATTACAATCAAAATGCCTTTTCATTAGCCATTAAAGACGAATCTAATAAGTGGCAGAGTCAGTGGGAAATATGTCATATCTGCAGATACTGGAATATCTAAATTTAGATAAGAAATGAAATTCTGTTATATCTGTGAAGTCTCATATGTCAATATGTTATTCGTTATTTATATTTTCTAGTGGACTTTTAATTAAATACATTATTTAATACATAGTACACGTAATTACCGATAATATTGATCAAGCTGTGCCTTCTCTATTCTTTTGTCTTTGGCGCGTCGATTTTGAAACCAAATTTTGATCTGCGTTTCTGTAAGGTGTAAGGATGTAGCAAGTTCAAATCTTCGTCCTCTAGAAATATATTCCCCTCTACGATATTCAACTTCCAATCTTAACGTTTGTTCACCGCTGAAAGTTGTTCTTTGTCTTCGTGGTCGTCCTTCTTTTCTTCTTTTGCGAGCTACTGTTCAATATAAACAAGAGAATTTTTAAAATAATAATTTAAAATAAAATTTTTTAAATTTAGAATAATAAAATCTAATAATGTATATTGAAGTGCATGATTTTTTGTTGCATTCGGAGCAAAGATTTTGAAAACCCAAGGTTACTTTTCCAATTACGAATCGGACTGAAAATAATCCGAATAAAATAAAAATAAAATAATCACGGCTGGTATGGTCTTTTTTCGAGATTTCTGAATTCTCTTAATTCGATTTCAAAAGATTTCGTGGGTCATGGTTTTCTTATGGGTTGGGAGAATTTTGAGTGAAGTAATTGGAAAATTGTACACAAATAATTTAGATATTTATAAAAATCCATATTAATGTGAAGGATAAAACAAGATACGATTAAATAAGATAATTAAGATAAGATAAGATTAAATTTCAAACTATATAGTGACTTGCAGTTGGGATTGTAGAATGACCGAATCACAGAGGATTATAACTAGAAATATCTAAATCAAATAGTACTAAAAATTTGATACACTGATTAAAAATAGAAACTATACATCAATTGAAATAAACCTCCACAAAATTTTCTTTTGTCTACTATTTCTGATCGGTGTAGTGACAGTAATAATTTAATAATACATTTGTATTAATTTAAAAGTAATAAATGTCCATGTATAATCATAATTAATAAGTGAGAAACAGAGTATGTGAATGTTGTTTTGATAATAAAAAAAAAAGTGGATATTTCGTGGCATTCATTTTTTCTCCGTAGTTTTCACATATTGAGTTGGTCTCGAAATCCTATAGTTAGATTTTATTTATAATTTACAATTTTACTTGGAAATTTTTATAAATTACAAGTAGTTGAAAAAAATATACATTTCAATCGAACTATCAAAATAAAAGTTATAAAAAACCGTAATACGAAAATAATAATTGTAATAGTAAATTACAATTAATAGTAATAAAAAATAGTATAAATTAATAGTAAATTACATATTAATAATAATATTAGAAAACTTAATTTTGGCGATAAATATATTTTGTGTTAAAGCTTATTTTAGGCACTGAATTTTATACGAGTGCCAAAGGATTAAATTTGAAAGTAGAGACAGCTTTTCCAGTCATTTTGGAAATATTGGTAATTTGCACAGATTTTTATTAAACAATTTGAAAGGAAAAAACGAATGAATCTCAAAAATCAGATATTAAAATATTAAAGAAAATTCTAATAAAGAATAAAAAAATAAAAAATTTTATAGCAGTAGGATGAATAGGCACATTCTTCATTCAAAGTGTGATAACTTGGGAAAAAAAATCGTACATCGACTTTTAGAGAGTCGTTGTAAAGAAGAGGTTTTTCCCTTTAAACTCATTGTAAAATGAATCACAAAAAAATTGATTAGGTTCCGCGAAATTGTTTGAATCTGAAAAATTTTTGAAGAAGAGTGCCATATTCATTTTCTTACGTCTTCAAAAAAATTGAATTCAGTGTCAAAAAATAGAGGTTTCGTACTAAAAAATGAGCAAAGGTACACCTCTGTACATTTTTTTTTTTTTTTTGTTGTAATTTCTGTAACTTTTCTTTTATATAATATGTAATAAATTTTATAATAAATTTAATGTATAATAAAATTTTATATACTATACATATATATAATTGGAGCATATATTGTTATAAATATCTGTATAAAAATAGGAAAGATCAAATCAATCAGACAAGTAATTTTTATTGGGTAAATTCGAGAAACCGTATATTATGGTCTGAAATAATGATCATAAATAATATTCGCAAAAAATTGCAGATTTTATTACATCCTCTAGGATTTAGAGTCATAAGTTTTTAAATGATGGCTGTATGTAGTACTTTGTATTTAACAAATTTTTAATTTCGGAAATTCATAACTTTAGACTTCTTTTTTAACTCAAAATTTGTGAATTCAAATGTTATCCTTGAACAAGAATTTAAATTAGATATTTTTGTTTGTTGTCATATTTTGATTAATTTTATTTATTGAGTTTCGATAACTTCAAAATCTTCCGAATATTACAAAGTTCCCAATTCGAATTTCAACAGTTCCAAAATTATGTTTCACCTATCCTCTGCATTTAATTTATCATAATTGAGACAATTATCACAATTATCAAAATTGATATTAAAAGAATATCTATGTATACCCGTCGAAACTGACTTTTACTTGCTTCATTTTCTTTCGAAAAATCTTTAGAACTTATTTTATAAATATTCCTAAATCTACAGTATATGCTTATTCTTTATATTATAAGTTAATTTACGAACTTTGATATTAAAATTATGTCTTATAAATTAACAACAAAATTGACTTTTATTTGACCATTCTTTCTCTTCAAAAATATCTAGAAATTATTCTACAAATATTACCTATATCTACGTAAACTGTATGCACATTTCTTTACAGTACAATGTAATTTAGAAGTTAGATTAAAATTACATCGCATATGTAAACAACAAAAACGACTTTTCCTTTACCTATCGTATCTTATAAAATATCTAGAAGTTATTCTACAAATATTCCCCATATTCTATAGTGTATGCGTATCTCTTTACAGTACAAGATAATTTAGGCTTATCGATATTAAAATTACCTCGTATATGTAAAACAAAAACGACTTTTGCTTTACCTATCGTATGTTATAAAATATCTAGAAGTTATTCTACAAATATTCCCCATATTCTATAGTGTATGCGTATCTCTTTACAGTACAAGATAATTTAGGCTTATCGATATTAAAATTACCTCGTATATGTAAAACAAAAACGACTTTTCCTTTACCTATCGTATCTTATAAAATACCTAGAAATTATTCTACAAATATCCCTCATATCTATAGTACATTCACACTTCCTTACATTGCAAGAAAATTTACGAACGATATACGAGACATGGAATTCACGAAGCTTTCAAAATCTTAGTTTATTGTACTTCGGTATTTTCACGGATTATTGTATTTCCACTTTTTGTCTTTTTCTCTTTCTTTTTTTGTTTTCCATTTAACACGCTAGTGAATCCCGACCGCCTTGCCGTGACAACGGCTTAAGGGGCAGGCGAGTAACACTGGGTTTGCAGAAATATAGCAAGGTATATTTCACATTGAAATGCGGCCAACTGCGTCCAGTAATCTCATCACAACATCGGTACGAGGTGGCGAAGCGGAATAAATCCATTCAAATGTGTGCGTATACCTGTATTGTGTTATATTGTACATGTTTGCTGTAATAACACTTATCAATGAAAAGCTTTAGGAACTGAATAAAATGTTAAAATATATATTAGCGGCAAATTATCACAGAGTTTTAAGGATTTTAAGTAATATGTGTAAAACTGAAAAAGAGAAAACTTTTGATTAATATTCACCGAGTTTCCGATAATATGTAACGAATTTTAGCATTCGACATGTATGTATGCATGTATGATGTATGTGTACGTATTGGTCAGTAAGATTTCGTAATTCGTCGTTTAAATGCAATTTGTGAAAGTCGAATTGAATTTTTAAATTTGACTTGCTTAATAATCTTCATGGGTTGCTAAATACGTGAATATATGAATATAATTTAGAAAATGGTATGCACAGATAATTTTTAAAATAACTTAGAAGTAGAGTACGAAAATATTACTTTTCTAATCTTCGGACGTTTATACAGTAAATTAAATTAAGTATCTTTCAATTTGTTTTCCGTTTTTAAGAGATTGTAGACAATTGAATACGAATTTATGATGATGATATAGATGATATGAATAACCAGAAAAATTTGTAACTAGAATTCAAAAATAATGTTTCGTTAATCAGTAGATGTTGCTTATATAGAAAAAATTGAATCAAATCCTTAAATTCGATTTGCTTTTTACATTTAGGAAAATTAAATAATTGAATACGAATTTGGTGCTAGTATAAGTATACAAATAGAAAAATTTGTAAATGAAATTTGGGAATAATACTGCTTCAGTTTTCAGATATCTTCAGTTTATAAAAAGGCCAGAAACGTTTTTCGTTTTTAAGAAATATTAAACAGTTGTAATTTTTATAAATAATAAAAGAAAGGAATAAGAAAATTGCGAGGCATTCAAATAATTTTTATACAAATCGAATTAAGTACTTAAATCGGATTTGTTTTATACTTTTAAGGAACATTAAATGGAATACGAATTTATAAACGACATAAATAGTAAGCAAAATTTTATGAATTGAAATTGAAACCAAATGTTTTTATCTTCATGAATTATAATTTATCTTCAAATGCTGATTTTTATACTTCACATCACTTTATTATTACATTATTCTGCAGGAAATACATTAAGTATAATACAATAAAATATCCTCGATAGGAACGGTAGAAAAGTATTTTTCAAATAGTCAATTTTAGGGGATATATTTTTGTTTCAGATGATGCAATAATGGTATTTTAAAATTTCTATAATTGTTGTAATAGTTAAATACTGCTTTTAAAATGGTGGATATAATTGAAAATAATCATTGAATTCTCTTTTGACAAAATAAAATGAAAAATAAATCTGTTTATTCAAATATTACTGATTTATTTATTTATATTTATCTCGATATAAATTTGGGAACCAAAGGAAAAACTATTATTACGTTATCAATCAAATCGTTCTTTGTGTGCTGTATATGATTTTATAATATACTACATTTACATTCTAGGTATTTTTATATAAATATAAATACGCGAAATGCTTTTAAACAAATGTAAATAGAATTTTATATTTTTAAATAGACATTTAGAAATTAGATATTAATTAGTTAATCAGATTTTAATTATTATTATAAACTAGAAATTAGACATTTCTAGTCTGTTAAATAATACTGAAGTCGTCCTTTTGTAAATACAAAGTGTCATTAAACCTAAAATGTAATCCAAAAATAGCTAATTTTAGGTGGAAAAATCTTTTAGATTTGTTATTAGTAAATATGTAAATATATACATATATGCAGGCGTGTACGTGTGACGTATTTTATGTGTAACAATTTAGAAAACATGTTTGCTTTAGGAAAAATTTGTTAAGTGCCGCAAATAATTGAGGTACGTGTATATAAAATATTGTTGAAACTTCGAAGCTTATTTTTTAATTTAAGGTTAAACCATAATTCAATTATATATATTTTTTAAATGAATATAAGTAAATAAGTACTTTAGCGAATTATAATGGTATAAAAGTACGCAAATACCAAGGTAAAGAATCGTTTACTTCCAAATAAAACATTTAACTATTTATAAATTAAAAGTTTATACAAATTAGAATATTACATAATGGTAAACACAGAATAAAATTTTTTATAGAATATAGAAAACATGGAAATTAGGATATATGAATTAAAATTACAATTACAAACAATTAGAAATTACAAAAATGAAAAATATATCCACTTAAATCTATTTAATAAATTTGGGTAACCGAAAAATATTAAAATTAAATTCTAATTGAAACGCAATAAAATTGTTCATATTAAAATAAGCGAATAATATGTTATTTTCCATAAATATTTATTATTCGAATAGAGAATTAAAAAGTTTCGAATTTCGACATTTGATTAAACCGAAATTCTAAACAAAAATAAGAACGCAATATATTTTTTAAATGGTAATAGTAATAATAACATTCCCCAAATAATCCTGAGATATTCAAATTATTATCTTAAACTAAATTATTATCTCTTGTCTCAATCTGAATTGTTATTACAAAAATTTTTGGTGTATTTGAGATAACTTTTGAGATTTTTGATTTGAGATCAATCTTTGTAACATAACATCGAGTGTACGATAAAAGAAAGCTTAGTGAGTATAATAAAATCTAAAAAATATTTTCAATGTAAAATACGACAGTTTATTTCTAATATTTGTCAAAGATATTTAAGGCATCCCTTTTTCATTTAGAAGAAGTCATAATTAAGCAAAAGAAGAATAAAAATATTTCAGTATACAATTTATAATATAACAATATGCATTTTTCATGCTTGGATATTGTATACTAGAAATTATTGCATTTTTTTTATAAAGAATATTAATTTTAGAGTCTATTTCGGTGAATTAAATTTTTAGTATCCTGTATACATGCAATATTTGTTAAATTAACATAATGTATGTGTATTAAATTTTCATTTACATTGAAAACGATTATGTTCCTAATTATAGATAGTCAAGTAATTTCACAGTATAAGTTTCATATTGACACTGCTTATTTATTACTACCATGTAGTTCATATTTATAAAATTAGAACTACTATAGATAACTACTATATGGTTCTAATTTTATTTAATATCTTATTTATGTCTATTAATTTTTCTATATCATTCCAATTTCCTGTTTCAACAAAGTTGCAAACTACGTTAGATACTGAAATTCCATCGAATAATTGTTATAAAAAGATACTTAAATACCTTTCAAAGATCTTACCACGAAATTTTAGAAAAAGCTATAAAACATAAACGCCATTAAGTAAGCAATTATTTTGAAAAAATGGTTCGATATAATCCTTTTCTGATTGATCCATCATTAATGATTAATGTCGTTAACATCGTTAATCCCGAATTAACCGGTTCATCGATTAAATTTAATTATAGAATACAGCATAATAATATAAATTGCAGAATATTATTAATATCAATCAGTTAATATTAATCTATATCCATAATTGTTATTCAAGATACACATAACACCGATACCAGTTTAAAATCACGCACGTAATACAATTTCAAATAAATTTCGGCGATAATTAAATCTACCAATCGCGATGATAATTTCCATTCGACATATTATATCAATTAGAAGAGCAGAGTAATACTCACAAAAAGCTGAGAATCCTTGCAAATGGTGCTCTGAGCTTGGGAAATATGGTAAATTATGCAAATGTGGCGGAAGCGCAGACGGATACGTGACTTGTGACAAAAATACAGGGTGATTAGTCGGTCCAGACTGAAGCTCGTGGAGCAATGGCAATCTCAAATTAAAGAAATTCGAATTCTTCTCTTTCTCATTCGTTAAGGCATTTGTTTCGTTGGTATTCTGTTTTCCGCCTCGCCCCGAGGATTTCTCTTTTATGCCCATTACCTGTACAAAAGATCGTCCTATTAAATATCATTAAATGATCACAACATAATATATTATACTCTGATACAATTTAATTTCTTTAATAAACCATTTAAACAAGACAAGAATTGGATCTATCAACAACACTTCGAAGGATTCAGTATATTATTCTTAGTCCAAAAACTTACGCGAGATAATTAAGAATATTATTAAATGGTAATGAAATATACTTTATCATTAATCCTTGTGTATATGTATAATATTCGTTAAAATTGTTATACACAGTTATGTCTAAAATAAAATAAGACGATTGCAGCATATTAATTAATTTAACACTGCTTTTATATTAAAATTATTGGAAGAATATGATGTTAGTTTAAGAGATGATTCTTGTATCTGGTGAATTTTTTGTTGGATTTATCAATAACTTGTTTGAGGATTTAGAATTAAAGTCTTATATTATGAGATAATCATAGATACTTGATAGTAAATAAGTTTAATTATATTATTTATATTCTTGTATCTTTTGAAGTTATTAGAAGTAATGAAAATAGTTGAAAATGACAAGAATAAAGTGACAACAAAATGACAACACAAAGTTAAAGAATAACAACATTGAGGAAAGACATAGTCCAATAATCCTTGAGTTTAACCCTTGTGATGTTTATGTCGAGTATATTCGTCATAAGAAGGCGACAACTTTTTGTTCAATGGTTCTTGCTTTTGCTATTTCAAGTATAATATAAATATAAAATAATAGAAGCGAAATTAAAACATATTCGTAATTTTAACGCATTTTAAAATAATACTCGGTCATTTAATACAAATGTACTTTTAATTCCAAATATTAATTTTTAAATCATATTAACGAGTCTATAAGCAATAAAACTATAAATTTCCCCCAAAAATAACTGGCAATATTTTTTATTTTGTTGTAATTCCTTTCAATTTTGCAGCACTTTATTTTCGTCGAGTATACTCGTCGTTGCTTAAAAATAATTAAGCACACAAGTATAGACCTTCAAAATGAAATGAAAACCTAAAGGGTTAATGACTTTTCTCTTATAGAGAGCTAGATCTATCAATACCAATTTTAAAGATTTAGCAAACTGCTTTTAACTCAAAGGCTTACATCATGAAATAACTATAAACAACTGACAATAATCAAGTCTAAATGTATCAGTAATACTTATACATATCTCAAGTCATAATAAATTAAGAATAATTAAAAATAGCCGTCTTTAATCGCTTTTACTACAATGAGTCTAACTCGACGCGAATTTTTCATGCCAAAACCCATAAAGATGAATCACACTTGCGTTAGACTAAAATTATATTTAACGTATGTTAACATGTGCAAAAATTTGTTTAAATTCTACAAGTTTTTATAATTTTAAAGGGAACCGTTCAAACAAGGGATGAAATGAAATAAGACAATCGAAGAACAATAAAGTCAACTATTTTTACATAAAGAATGTCATAAGAATAAGCAATATTAAAGAAATAAAGAGTAGAGTTAAAACTAAGTTTCTACGCGTTAGAAAAGCTATTTCTTACTTGCGTAACTTCATCGTTCGAAGAATTGCACGAATTGTCCGCATCTAACGTGTTCCTATTATACAGAAGAATATTCGAAGAAAAATCGAAACTTGATTTCGGTTTGGACCTTTCCTCGTCATCGTTATCGGTACCATCCACCTTCTTCGCCTCGAGATGTCCATAAATCCGCGCAAAAAATTGTCGTGGAGATGATGGTCCTTCCGCTTTCGTCGACATTTAGCTCTAATCGAATCTGCCGTTGGCCAATAATAGAAGAAAATTGCATAAAATCAAGCAAAACATATTACACGATGATCATCTTAACTCCCTGCATCGAATATCTCATCTTATCCTCCTGTCTCATCAAGCAGGACGTTAAATTTCCCATTGCACGCAACTCTGTCCTCGTAGATAGGGTCTTAGTAACTCAACGTTTGCAACGATCCGAACACTCGATCCTTCTCGACGTCACTTTAAATCTTCCTATCCTAGGTGCAGCGAACGGTTTCGTCAAATTCGCGTACTCGCACATCTATGTCCGACGGTGTCAGGGTCGACGTTGCGTCGAAAGTTAGCCAGAGGTGTACGCTGTTGGTACTTAGGCCAATATCTTGGATGCACGTGTGTTCACATGCAAATACCATTCACGTAACGAATCAAATTCTTAGAACACTTTTCCTCGAAGGACACTCGAGTGGACTGAATACCTCGAAGATGAGCACCGAATGACTCCTGTGCGAGGTTGCACGCGTATCTGAGTCAGTTTGGCTCCAACCTCCATTCTCTCGCTTCATGGTTAACATGAAAATAGAGAGAAGGGATGTTCCCGCGCTCCCTACCCCGTTCAACGTTCCCCACTATGCGTGGTGTACCACCCCCATCCCTTCGGTTCCAGATAATTTCGCTGTCATCGTTGTAACGCCCCTTTGCGAAAGAGCACCTGCAGACGTTTGTGGCCAGTGGAAGAGAAACATTTGGAACGGACTCTATTATTTATGATTGCACCGTGAAATTCAGATACGCGGTTAGGTAGACATGACTGGCAATAGACGGGTTTAGATTGGGACCAGTCGCGTTTCGAACTTCCTTTAAGTCGGCTAAATATTTCTTTTCCGTTTCTTGCAGTTTTCTGTTGTCCTTGGTACGGTTCTTCAATTTAACCTTGATTTCTATGAATTTATATTAAATTAATAGCTGTGGGTTTTACCAAGAGGTGTTGTTTAATATCGTAGTTCGTACAAGTTTGGATTATTTATTTCAATTTTGGATTAATCCTATTCAAGACCTTTTTTAATCGAAGTTTCGCCAATTTGTAGTACTTGCATCGTTTAATTAGAGTTTGGTTTGGACGAATTTATTTTAAACTCAACGCAAATAATTATGAATTTTAATAAGTGTGATCTGATACTATAATTCGTATGAGCTTGGATTATTTATTTTAATTTCGTGTTAGTCCTGTTTAAAATATTTTTTAATTGACCATTTAAGTTTCGTTAATTTGGTTCTCTGCAGTATCTGTATTATTTAATTTGATTGTACGAATTTATTTTACCGCGAAGTGTCGAATATATTATAGTTTGTATAAGTTACCTATGACTTATTTCAGTTTTAGATTAGTCCTATTTGAGATTTCTTTTAATTAAGAATTAAAGTTTTGTTAATTTAGTTCTTTGCAGAATTTGTATTGTTTAATTTAAGTTTGGTTTGTACCAAACCAAAAATTGGTTGAATCCACTTTAAATTCAACGCGAGTAGTTAAGCTTAGATTATTTATTTGAATTTCGTGTTAGTCTTACTTAAAATCTTTTCTAATTGACAATTCAAGTTTTACTAATTTAAATACTTACGAAAGTAATACAAAAATTGGATCGTTCAAATAATTTCATAGTATATCATAATTTTGATATCATCGAATAAAGGTCATTAACTTTGGTGAACATTAATAATTAATCAACACGTTACTATTTATATACAACTGTAAAACTTCGTACTATGTCGCAAAAATGATATGAGAAAACTTAATAGTAATAATAATAATATGATTTCAATCATAACAATAATAGTAATAACGAAACTAATCCGACGTTCAAATAAAGATGTTGAATGATTTCTACATTAAACCTATATATAATTGAACGTTTTACTTTCATATCGAGAAGAATTTGAAACAACGCTATTGAAAAATTTCTGCAGCGAATTGCAAACAGAATTGAATAACTCTATTGTTTAAATACGAATAACATATCTAGAACTCAATCTTATCATCTTTTAACTTTATTTTCACGTGAAAAATGAATGTTCATCCGTAAACTAAAAATTAAAATTGATAAAAATTTAATCGCTAGGTTTGTTATAAAAACTCAGTGAATTGATCGTTAAATGTGCTATAATAGACCATAATGTATGTGTAATGAGCATTTAGTTATTTCCCGTGATTTGGTATTTTTATCGCCATCGTCTTCTGTTCGCTGTACGCCCTTATACTACGATAAAATTTCGGTAAGTAAGCTTTTTCATTAGACGTGAATGATTCGTGAAGGGTATGAATATTAATCTCGCGGTATCTTGTGCATTTACGGTCAACCGCACATTGAACAATCTGTACCGGAATTCTTTTCTCATCCATCATCCATCAGTCGAAGATTTCAACCCTCGAGGGAGACTTACGGATCCTTATTACGTATCACTGCTTCATTTTTTGTTGTTCTGCTCTCCTTAAATCACGTACCATTGATTCATTATTTATTGTTATTTCCTTCTTAAATCAAGTACCACTGTTTCATTATTTACCATATCAGTACTGTTATTATCCTTCCTTCTATTCCATTAGATCAGACTAATGTATTAGGTTTGTAGAAATAACTTCTCATTCCTATACTCCTATACTCATTGCATATCAAGATACTTGTGTTAAAAATGATATTCATAAAAATTGTTCAAATTTAATAGATACGTAAACGTAATTATAATATTTGAATAAAAATGAATGTAAATTTACACGTAATTCTTGTAAATTCTGATAAAGTTTTAATTTAAATGTAATGATATATGAATATAAATTGCACGTAAAATTACAAAATCGATTTTGTAAAGCCTTATAAAAATCTTAATACTTATAATATATATATACATAATATCTTTTTATCTTGCGAAAAACAAGCTACAGATTTATTTTTCGATAAATTAATTTATCCACGCTAGTGTTTATTTCTCAAGAGTTTTAGAATCTGTAATTATATTTACATTTGCTGATATCAATTTATAATTCTAAAATATTAAAAAAATAAATAACACTCGTTGAAGTTGTTTGAAATATTTTGTATAATAAAATTATACGAATGTATCTGTAATTTATTATGCGCTTGAAAATAATTCATCCTTAATTTTGCGGAAGTTACGTTTCTTGTAATTCATCCTTTAATTAAATGACTAGAATATTAAAGTAGTATGGTAACCATGAATTTTATTCTTAACTGTATTTACAAGATGTATCAAAAGAAACACCTTATAATATCAAATCAAATTCGAAATTGGCCATTTTCGTCAATTATTTATATATATATATATATATATTTGGCCATTTTCGTCAATTATTTATATATATATATAAATCGATAAAGCTTTATCGCACATTTGATTTGTAATAAACAGATGGCTACTATTAATTCAATTTGTATAAAAATTTATATTTCTTAACTATAAATATTTTCACACATGTAGTATATATTTATCATTGTTATATCACGAATTTTAGCCTCCTTTGTGCCTTTAATAAATTTCATATTTTGTACAATTACTACATACTAATGGGCTATTTGGAAATAGTTTTATTTTATTAAAGACCGTGAAGGAGACTGTGACGAAATGAGCCAAGTATTTTTAATTCCAATAAAATAGTAACTTATATTTCATTTCGTTGGATAAAATGTTAAATATAGAAACATACTATGAAGTAAGCTTCATCGTATCACTTTCTACATTTATTATTTATTATTTATTAAGAATAAAATTGTAAAAGAAAGTACTTAGATAAAAATAAAATAGATATCATAGGTAAATTCAGCTATTTTTAACGTTTCATAATTAATGATTAATAGTTTGGTGTGATTTAATTAGATAGTTTTGAATATCATTATTTTTTATACGAAAATTTTCTATATAAATTAATTGCATAACAATTTGTTCAGTAATCAGATTTCAATCAATTTTTCTTGTATCAATTTATTAATATAGACTTATGCTTGTTTTTATTGTGCATGTAAATTATTATTCGCTATATTTCTTGTGCATGCAAGTTAATGAAATATTAATTGATATACTAATTGCATTTATTTAACCAACAAATTGCTACTATATCTATTAAACAAATTATAAGAATTTTTGTAGAAAATAGAATTATTGTATCTTTAAATATGAATTTGAAAACACGCATCATCGAAAATATTTATATACTATAACACGCAGCATAATTTACCTGTAACAGCTGTTCTTGTAATTAATTACAGTATTATTAAAGTGATTTTGGAGTGATTTAAACTTAAACAATCAATATTTTTTCTCAAACTACTAAAAATATCAGATATATCGCAAAAAGAAAATAATTTTCGCGATGGAAGAATTAAAAATACGACTGTTAATAATATTACTTATAAAAGTATGAATTATAATAAAAATTACTTATAAAGATACTACGTGACATACAAATTACTCATAAAAATATAACTTAATAAATTTTGCGTATGTAGTTAAGATTATAAGTATCACTATAATCTATAGTAATGACTATAACCCTTTCTTATATTAGAATACGAATATGCAAAGATAGAAGAATATGAAACAAGTAATACCAATGATAATTATGCATATAAATGAAAAAATAGAAATACAAAAATATGTTAAATTTTTATTTCATTACCAGGACGCGAAAAATTACGTTTCAGTTCCAATTGCACGGATAAAGTGAAATTGCGAAAAAGCGATAATACGTATGTTTATTTACTTCAACGATTATATAGTCATAAAGCAAAATCGCCGTGTTTGCGATAATGATAATGTTGACAATAGAAATCACGCAAAGGAAATTAGAGATAGCTCGATGTGAAGTTGGACATACGCATGCGCGTCTTCAACGAATTCTCGTTGGTTCTTCTATAATTACATTGATTTCCATCTCGTCCCCGATTGGTTCGAAATCGGACTACCATTATACCACTCCACTGGCGAGTTATTCTGATAGG